AGATCAAATTTGGAGATTAAAAATATATTTTCCCTTGCTGTATCGTTGTCACAGTTGTGGTGAAAGTCTTAAATAAGAGCATGTCAGCAACCATTCCTAATTAACTCATGGCAGCATGCCCGGCGTGCACACATTCATGCTCTCTCTCCCTGTGTGTAGATACAAATCTCTAAGAGAAAGAGCTCCTTACAATGAAATAAATTGAGTGATTACGTTAATTGACACAAATGTTCTTCAAAGCAGCCCATTTAATTTTGTTTAGGCATTTCCTGACTGATGTTTCCTTAGTTTCTAATAAATAACCTATTGTAAAACTTGCTAACAGAAGATTTTATAGCGTAGTAGATTCCAAGGTTAATTTACTAAACCTTTCAGCCGTATACTCTCGGTTAGACTGTGGCTTAAAAATGTGGTGTAAAAAAGGCAAAACCAAACCCACAGGAATTTGGATGTATGATGATACACTTTTACGTGCTTTGCTTCAGTTTGCATTTGTTGACTGAGATGAGTTGCTGAAGTAAAAGATCCAGGAAAGATGGTACATAGTGAATGTGGTTTTGTGTTCAGGTGCGTACCAGCATTATTTTCTCTTTCTTTTTATCTAGAGATTTAAAAATTTATGAATGAACACAATTAGAATTTTAAAATGTAGATGTTGTCTTGGTATAAATTGATAAACAGAAGCTTTGTCTCTTGGCATTTCTTGTTTTATATTGGTCTATTAAGTCACAGTAATCAAGCAAAAGGAACCCTGGAACACCCACCCAGCATGGCAGAGAGTGCCTGAGGGAAATGGACGATAATGCAGAAGCGGGCTGCTGCTGGAGCAGAGCAGTGTCCCAGGCCACTCCTTGGGAGGTCGTTAGGGGCAGTCCTGGCCACATTTTCTCTGGGTGCCACTCTGCTGTGCACAAGGATTATACTTGTACGTTTTCTAGTGTGTCTGCAGAGAGCGGGAGTCACCAGAGGGCAGACGCTGAGCAGGTGTCACTCCTTTGCATTACCATACCTTTTATGGTTATTATCCAGTATGTATCAATGTTTTTCAGTGAAATCTGAGTTCGGTTTAAGACTTTATGCATTTATTGACTCTAAAAAAGCTCCTCAGATATGCTAGAATCAGGTTTTTCTTCAGCGACTGACCCTGGTATTTCATAACTGTTTCCAGAATCAGCATGACTAGAGATATTGTGTACTTCTCTGAAGAAAATGAGCCCATTCAACATGCACACGTTTTTAACTCAGGTGGTTGTTTATTTTAAAATGTATATAATTATTGCAAAGCAGTAAAGTTCCTGTGGTTGAGTAAGGTCATGAGAGTAGTGAAAGAATATACTGAACTTCAAATGCATCTGCATTTATTGTCCATGCTTGGAAATGTCACGCTTACAGGCAAATCTATTTGGTTTGTGTCTATGTTATGCTTTTACAAAGCATTTGCTAGTTATGATAATGAGGTTCAAGGTGATGTATCAACTACCAGTAGTAGAGACTCTACGTACTTTAACTTTAGTGACAGAAAAGTTAAGCAGCTGTTCTGTAGATGGAGGTGGGAAGCCACAGAGGTCTGTTTGGCTGTGCTAGATAAATGGCTTAAGAAGGGTGAGGAGAGTTGCCCTCTAGATCTGTGTTTATGGACATGCAGAGTCCGGATGATTAGCTCAAAAGTAACACCTAGCTTTTAGGATGGTTAATGTGAGATGCAATTAATCCTGTCTTAACATGATCCTCTGTATTGGAAAGGACAGAACTATGGGTTTGAGAGTGGCGCTAAAAGAACACCTTAGTCAAAAGAAGCCAAAAGCAAGTTGCAGAATAGGCAGCATAAATATACATTCCCAGTGTCTGCAAAAACGTATTTTGGGACTGCTCTCACCAGTTTTTATCTCCCCTGTCATTTTAATGACATACCATAACCGATACGCATTTGTTTTTCTGAATAACCCAAAGTAGGAGTGAAATGATTCACTTGGAAAGTAGCAGCCTGGATACTTGGCTGACACATGGAGAATAAAAGTACATGAAGTTTGCAAAGGTGAATACAGAAGATGCGCTGCTAAGGTGCTTCTGTGGTAAATAGGCATTGAGGAATGGAAAAGCTGAGTTATGACCGCTATGCTTCAAGTCAGGTTTTGTACTCGACATGGGTTTTTTGAAGCTTCTATATCTTGTGAAGTTGTCCATATGCATGCCACTTAATTGTTATTCAGCAACACTTCCAAGTATTTCCATTTCAGGGATTCATTAGCTTTTTAAAGATTTTCTTGCACTATAATTTTTGCAGGGTTTAAATGCTTTGGGTTTGTAATCTCTCCAATGGGATTAATTTTTAAGGCTTAGCAAAACTCTTTGAAATTTCTTTCATTACCGACAGATGAGGAAAAGTGTGCCTCATTTTAATAGCCATACTTGAGACTGCTAACAGTAGAGATCTTGTAGCAATTTAGCAAGAAATATATGTCTTGGAAATAATTTTTGAGATAAACATGTAAGTCTGCATAGAAGTTGAATAATGGATTTTTCCTATTTTTCAAATTTTTTTTCTAATTCTCCTTTAAAGAGGAAGTTTAAAACCATTCCTCCTTGTCCTATCACTACAGGCCCTTGTAAAAAATCCCTCATCAGCTTTCTTGTAGACTCTCTTTAGGGATTGTAAGTTTTAGTTTTGACCTCTTTCTTGACTTCAGAAACCTAAAAAATGTGTGCTCTGTTATGGCCTGTAGGAGGCTGACCTTTTCCTGCAATGTGAGGTGTGCTCAAGGAAGGAGGCAGCAATACACAGTGAATCACAAACACTTTGAGGATTGCCTTGCTGTGTGCCAAATTATGTTTGCCGTCTCCAGCATGTAATTTTCAGGCAAATCTGTTGAAGTCTTTAATCTATAATTAGGCTTATAAGCTTCTTTAGACCTTTTGGATTTCCTTCTTTTTAAAATAATGGAACACAGCATTGTTATTCTGTGAATCTTTCTGCCATATTTTCCAGAGAAAGTTTTACTGGAGGGGTTTTTATTTATTTATATTTTCCTTCAGTTTTCTAAAATGGGTATGTGAAGATCCTATTTTCATCAAGAAATTAGTTCAAAATTATGTGGTACAAGTGACTGTAATAAAAAGGAAGAATTTTTTCCTGGCAGTACTGAGCATAAATAGTTTTTCAGTTAGGCTAAAGTAAATATGAGTTTTCAAAACTGGATTCATACAGTAGGTTTTTCTGCATTAAAAAAAAAAAAAAGTTAATTAAAATGTCACTCTTTTTTCATGTGTTAATGTGCGAACGTTTTGCTAAATAAATGAATTCTGTCACCAGCCAGAGGTGAGGCAGTTCTCTGTGTGAATCCCCCTGTTTGCCTCAGGACAAGTTACAGCCTGGAGGAACAGGCATTTTTGTACTTCACTAGATAAGTGTGTGTGTGTATGCGTACTCGCCTACCTGTGTACATCTGTTTTGTGTGTATGCGTGCGTACACATGGTATATGAGTGTTGTTGCATAACATTCCTTTCATGTTTGAGAAGCAGCATTCTGTGAGCCTCCTCTGCTCAAGTGTCATTACTCCTCCTTCCTTCCTCATTTTCAGGTATTTATTAAAGAAATATTCTACAGACCTTTTGTTTTCCTCATAAGAATTTTAATTCTGCGAATATTCAGATTCAGACTTTTTTTTTCTTTCTGTACAATAGATCTTAATAGTTGCATAATCTTTAAAGAAACCTGCAAGTCTTTTTTAATTGGAAACACAGCAGTGTTAAATAGTTTGTAAATACTTTCTCTATGTGCCATAGGTAAGTAGTTTGCTTTTAATGTTGTTTTCTGACTGTTTTGGGGAATTTTGGTGCCCCTAAATTGACCTAAGGGATTTTGCTTTCAGGTTTCCTACTGATCAATTTGATTTCCTTTTTCTGCTCCCAATACCATGGGTTTTGGAGGACTCACTGCTGTTCTGTTTCAGTAGGAGGGATGTCCTGCCTGCTTTGGTATCTGTTGTGACCTAGCAGTCTGCAGGAGTTGAAGTATGTCCTTCTGCCCCTTATAAGCCCCAGTGACTCCAGGCAGTAAGCTGGAGACATAAGAAAGTTCCAATATCTCTAAACCATTTCTGTTGAGTTTTAATAAAAGTGCTAATGTGGAATGCTCTAAGCAAAGGGGAGAAATTGTAATAAATACGATCGTTATTTTAAAATTCTTTCAGACCGGTGGATTCTTTTAACAATTTATACATTTGGCTCAGTTGTAATTTTCTTGGCATCCTTACGATCATTTAGGGAAGTTCCTATATGTATTTATAGCAAATACATTCTGGAGCTTAATTCAATGGCTTGCAAACTTCCTGGCTCTCTGTAGACCCAAACTCACGCATTTCTATGTCTGTTTACAGTTTTTCCGGATTTCACTATTATATTTTGGCAGTTCTATGGTCTTTCCAATTTCTGCTTTAGTGTACATATGTCTCAGTTCTGTTGCTGGTTGGTTTTTTTTTTTTCTCTTTATATGTTGCTGTTCCTTCACAGTTATATTTTTACTGTCTACATTTGTTTTATTTTCCAAAGCACAAGTGATCAGTAATTAATGTTACTGGTTTTACTGCACTTAGGTTGCTGGGGATTTGTTTGCTTGGTTTTTATTTGTTTGTTTTTTAATATTCTTTCTGTAATCTGAGGCATGTTTTGGCTTTTGCTTCTTCTTCTACTTGAATTAATATTGTACAAAGACAGCTACTGCATGTACAGCAGCCCAGAATACCTCTTATTATTTTTCTTTTTAGACATTTTGGGAGTTTGCAAAATTTTAGTCATAAAGCTTCTAAGAAAATAGAGCTTCTAGAAGAACAGCTTCCTGAAAGTGTTTGCATGACTTTTCCACAAACATACAGTTCTTTTAAGATCCTATGTTCTTGCTTACGTTTAGTAAATAGCATAGAAATTCTTCATTTGAGAATCATTTTCTGAAAACTAACAAATGTTTTTGCACTTGTACTAAATGTAATACCCTCCCTTACAGATGCAGAGAGAAGATGTATGATTATTATAACCTGCCAAAAACCTCCGTTGTGATAGCTTTTTATAATGAGGCTTGGTCAACACTTCTGCGAACTGTTCACAGTGTTCTTGAGACATCCCCAGATATTCTTTTGGAAGAAATTATTCTTGTAGATGATTACAGTGACAAAGGTAAGAAGAATAATTCTAAATAATGTTGATTGTTGATGGGCTTTTTTGGTCAGCCAGCCCACAGGAGAAAGTTATGCTGTTTAGGTCACATACCATAATATTGTACAACACAGGCATCTAATTGGAAAATATTTTTTCTTGTAGTGTGCCAGGGAAAAATTCGGCTTCTGAACCAAATTTAGTTTAGAATGGGGAAGCATGTGTTGTATGTGAGTGCTTGCCTGCACAGATAACCTACAGTCTGTTGAAGCATTTTAGGTTGCCTGATTTGAGCAAGTTTTGATTGCTCTAAGGTTGCCCTGGTGTCCCAAGTAATGACAGCTACCTAGTTCTTTGGTTTAGTTTGAATAATGGGACACAAAGGCGCTGCTGGCATTTTCCACTACACATGAATTGTGTTAAGAGTAAAACACAGACAAATCTTTAAGTAACATTTGAGAAGCACTAAACAATCTGAAAATGAATTGCAGGGCCAAATGTAAAGCATTTGATTTCTTAAAAGTAACATTATTTTTGTCCATCTAGGTTCTGTGCTTTTTCCATGTCCTTTCCTAGGAGTTCAAACTGCCAGTATCTTTAGGGTACTGCTATAAGCAATATGCTACTGAGGAGATAACTTTCTGTAGCATGATATTAACAAATTGTTCCAGAACTATTATTACTTTTCTGTTTGTTTGTTTGTTATAGAACATTTAAAGGAGGCTTTGGAGAACTACGTGGCTGGTTTACGCAAGGTGCGTCTTATCCGGGCAAATAAGCGAGAGGGGCTGGTTCGAGCCCGGCTGCTGGGGGCATCTGTGGCAAAAGGAGACATCCTGACCTTCCTGGACTGCCACTGTGAATGCCATGAGGGCTGGCTGGAGCCACTGTTGGAAAGGTGAGCTGCTGCTCTGGGCTGGTTTTCTTTCCCACTGGAGAAGAAGAGACAAGATAATTTGGCACTCCTCTGCACTGGAAAAATGACTTGTAGTTTACCAAATGTTACTGCAGCCTAGTCCCTGAGGCACTGCAAGTGTTTGTCTCCTGGCTATGGGGAAGCAAATGGAAGTGTGAAAGATCAGGAAATGGGATTTTTTTTTTTTTTTAATCCTGGGGACCAAGCTGCTCTTTTTCTTCAGACAAGGGAAATTTTTCAGGAAGAGGAATCCCTGCACTCTCAGCTTTGAAACTACCTTGGGAAAGGTGGCTGCTTCTGTCAGCCAGGGTTGTGGATGAGAAGAAGGTCTGGAAAGATGCGTGCCCTGAGACATGCCCTATTGCAGGACAATGTGCACATACGCAGAGTGGAATACAAGTCAAAAAACTTCATCTTCCTAGTCCTGAGGAAGTCCATCTTTCCAAACTGGTTCTAATATAGAACATGATGGGGTAGGATAGGGAGGAGTTAATGCTGTGTCAACACTGACTTTTACTTGGAAACCATCTGTCCCGGGACACTGAACTTTACACCTATGTAGTCTCTTGTCTATAGTGCAGATCTGCCAGGCTGTTCAGAAAACTCCCATTGATTAAAAACAAACAAACAAAGAAAACAAAAACCCGGAAGAACTCTCCAAAAGCTACAAGAAAAAAACCTGGAAACCAGAATACAAGCTCTCCATTACAGCTTTGAATATTGAAGCCTCCTCCATGCATATTCATCAGCCATACATGCACTTTTCCTACTGTCAGGTCCACCACTGGTACACCTCACCACAGCACCCCGCTGCCCTCACATCATATCCATTGCTTTGTCCCCCTTACTGACAGCTTATGGCTTTACCTCCTTGGATGTGATGCATAGAGTACCTGAATCACACTCCTAAATATTCTGTATAGAAAACCAGTTCTCTTTAAAACACAGTTAAAAATAATTCTTTCCTCAAGGCCAGTGGTTTGATTTGCATCCTGTAAAGATTCCCACGGGCTACTATAGACTTTGGATACAGACCAGAAAAAACAGCCCTATGCAAAATGGAGAAAGACTTCCAAAAGCACATGCTGTCTTGATGTATGCAAGTCTTCCTGATACCTAGTGGGATGTGTTCTCAAACTCCCCAGGTCCATTTGAAATTGTATCTAGAATACTATTTTAGTTTTTTGTTTTCTTAAAATTGCCATACTTACCTTGTTTCTAAATTTCATGCCATACATTCCAGATGACTGTGGGTTAACTATGAGAGTTTGAAGAAAGGAAAAAGGGTAAACATCAAATAATGAGCATGGGTTTAAACGACTGGCTTCTAAAGAAACAGTGTGACTGTGGAGACGATTCTGAAATTTCTTCACTTCTTTAGCACACCACTAGATGGCAATCTTGAGGAAGGATTGGGATAATTTACACGTTATAAATCACCTTCTGTAAAAAGTTAGCCCTGAATGTGTCTTGGAATTCTTGGTCTTCTTGCTGCAGATGCAGATGTGCATCTCTAAGGGGAATTTTCCATGGCATTTCTGACTGAAATGTATGGGAGCCATACAACAGTGCATTTTACAGCACAAACATGGTTGTATTTGTAAGCCGCCTGTGCCTTGTACTATCTAATTAGTTCTTAACTTATGGAAAAAGAGATGGCTTTTCACTTATGTGATTCCTTTCATAACTAAAATCATATTCCAGCTACCTAATTTTTACTCCTTTTCCTACTTGTTACAGGAGCAGCAAAGCATTTTTACATTTTATTGGGATTTTTTTCTGTGTGTACATATGATTCTCATTGCTTTGTACATTAGTTTTATGTGACTGAGAGAGGAGATAGCAATATTTGTATAAGCCCTTTTGTGTGCTCAAGATTTCAATGGAAAACGATAATGAAGAAAACAGCTGTGTTGCATATTCCCTCCAGCAACAAGAGACCATTTCATACTTAAGGCGGTCTTTGTCAGCTCAGACAATACTTCTGTGGAACTGCTGCTGTTCTCTGCTGCATTTAACCTTCACAAGCTGCTCTAATTTCAGAGTCTGAGCCCTTGGTCAGCCTGCGGGTTTTAATCTTAATAATCCCATGAGGAACTGGCTCTCTTTGAATGACAGATACGCTGCATCTCTTACTTATTTGACAATATAATATGTTCATTTTTTCTTCACCTCTGGAATATGTAAACCAGAAGACTAAGGGCTAAAACAAGTGCTAGCATCTTAAAGTCAAATGTCACTTCATTGCACTCAGCTATCAGGGGATATCTAACACTAGTGCAGAGAAGATGCTAAACAGTGATTTAGAAGAAAGACCTTAGCTTGAGCTTGTGTGCTTGAAGTTGCCCCTAGTACTGAGACAGACCTTTCCAGAAGTTGAGGAGAAGGCAAAGAATCCTGTTGCCATTTGTAAGGGCAAATGGCTTTGGAAAGGAATCCAGAAAACCCTGCATGGTATTAAGAAATGGGAGGAAGGGGTTTATCTTCTTGAAGAAGTAGACCTGCAAGAAAGGCCATCAGCTCTGATGTATTCTTAGTATGATAAAGATCTTGACTATCTTTAGATCACCCTTGCTGATAGGTATGTAATTCTGCAGTGCTATCTCATTTCTCCTCTTCATCTCCTATGTTGCCAGGGTTTCTGGAAGCCTGCCTTATGTGTATTTCACTGTTGGAGATCTAATTCCAGTGTTGTGTGTTCAAAAGAACACGCAACATTTAAGCTCATGGCTTCTTTTTGAGTTATTGTTGTAGTACTTAGTGTAACTTTTTGTGGATTATCACAAGAACAACCATGACTTTGAGGGCCAAGAGGCTGGCTAATTTATTATTCACCTTGGCAGAACTATACAATCATGCTAATCTTAAACGCAGCAACCTGTACAAAAAGAAAACAGACTTTTTTTTTGTTGAGAATGTGATGCTGGCTATGGAAGCCAAGCCAGATGTTTAATGTGTTATCTTAAGTCATCTGACATTCCTCCCTTCCACTGTCCAGGAAGATTGATGCTTACCAGGTGCCTATAGCCAAGTCCATCCTGATGCATCCTCAGTAGGAAACTGGTGGTTATTTCTGTAGCCATCATTTCCTTGTATTGCAGTGTGAATTGAAAAGGAGCAAAACTTTGTGTTTGGTACCTGTAAGCATTCCTTGTTCTTGTCAGTTACAGCTTTTGAGAGAAGTTTCTAATGGAAGTTACCCTTTTGTTTTAAAAAAATACCAGGATTGCGGAAGAAGAAACAGCCGTCGTCTGCCCTGTTATTGATGTTATTGACTGGAATACATTTGAATACTTGGGAAATGCTGGTGAGCCACAGATTGGTGGATTTGACTGGAGACTGGTCTTCACTTGGCATAGTACCCCTGAAAGAGAACAAAAACGGAGGAGGTCCAAGACTGATGTGATCAGGTTAATTTTTATGCATCTTATGCTGTGAATGCGTTTTTGATTTCACCTGAAAATACCAGGTGCTGAAAAATATTTGAGAAATAAGCATATTACTAAAAATCACTTATTTTGCTTAGTTCCCCATTTTTTACAAAATAGCTCCTGCTTACCATGGTCTTGGAAAAAATACTGGTCTAAAAGCTGAAACTCCTATGTCATCTTCCATATAGAATCCTTATTACAAAGTAGTCTTTTGACTCCTCTAGGCAAACTCCCAGAGATGTTTATCAGCGCTTGGAAGGGGTGTAACTGATAAATACTGAAGGATGTTCTCTATGCAAAGCGAAGAGCTCCGTGTTGTAAAAAACATCATGAGCAATGATGAAAAGAGAAAAAAATCATTAGCCAGTTAGAATGCAAAAGTTATTTTGAAGACTTTATCTGTGCTGTAACCATAGTGGTGGTGGCTATTTTCAAAGGTGAGCCAGTTTGCCAGTTTTTTATTGAGATGAAATGATACAGCTCTATCCACCAAGGTTTCTCTTAAGGGCTATCTCACAGGAGCTCACTCTGATGTCTTCCTTGTGGGTATTAGTTTTGTTTTAATTTAAGATTAGTTACAATTGGTTGGTATTATTTGTCACTCTGTGTTGTGTTTTTAGGAGAGGTAAGGTAATAGAACAAACAAGACATCTGGAAAATGGGCACTGTAGATAAAATCCTAATAGTTGAGGGTCTGCTGTGTTCAACTTGAAAGTTGATCTATTTCATCAGTGTATTGTAATAAATTAAGCTGTTTGGCATTTTTGTTAGTACTTCTATTTATAATGTTATCTTATAGACTACAGCAAATACAGTGATTAATTTTTCTCAGTCTTTTCTAGGTGGCTTATCATGATAATAATACCCAGTACTTCACAAATATTAATGAACTTATCCTCAACTGAGAGAACAATTTTTTTACATGAGAAAAATGAGGCAGTAGTTTAGTCCTTCTCAGCATATATTAGTCCACATCCTCCTTCAAAAAAATTCAAAATAAGAGTAAATGTTTTAAAATCCTTTAGCTCAAATATGATGCTTTTTTCTTCTTCATGACAAGAAGAATTGTTTTTGACATGCTAAGAGGAGAATGATGAGGGATAAAGTTTCATAGTAGCCTGGGGACTGCGAGCTCGACAAGTGTCTGGAGAAAGCAGCAGTGCCAAGAGTGGTGTCACCAACAGCTGTGTTTGGAAAGATGAGTTCTGGAGGGAGATAGAAGAACTTGACTGGTTATGGAGTTTGGTTTTTTTCCTTCTGTCTTGCCTCATCTCATTCCATTATTTGAAACAGCATATGACAATGTGAGACAGTGTTGCTTCAAAAAAGATAGCTGGTAAAATTGGTTGTGACAGATTAAGACTAATTGATCACTGCACCTTGCATTTTTTAATATTTACCTCAACAGCAATTTAGTAAAATTCGTAAAATGTCAGCTGAACTCAGTTTCAATCAGCTTTATATACCTGGTACTTTAAAGAGAGTAATTTTCTAAGACTATGAACAATTAGGAACAGTATTGAACAAATACAAGTTTATGTATGTGTGCACATGCTACCCTACTGAAAGTACATCCTTTAAGTGCACTGTCGCTCTGGGCCTTGTGATCTTCCATGAGGATCCAATCTTGACTCCTGATTTTTTTTTTCCTCAAACTTCGTAAAGAATTTAAGAACATACAAATGGGCAGATCTTAGAAAGAAAACAAATATCTTTAGAGGTTATGTTTACTTAATTCTTAATTGATGTCCAAGAGTTTTTTCACTTGATTTTAATGGGATCTAGAATGTTGTTATTAATTACCAAAGCACAAATATTTCTTTAATTATTACTTAGGTAAAATACATAAAGGTACAGCACTTAGAATTTCAGAGCTGACTAATACAGTTCTGCTACAAAAACCCCAAACTCATGTTCTATTATGTGAAGGTAAGAGGCAACTCATTTATACACAAAGACACTGCAATTGCAAAAAAGTATTTTAAGACAATATTTGTATATTCTGGAGCTTGTTTCAGATACAATTTTTTTACTACAAAATTAAATTTAAATGGCCTCATGATAACCAATCAACATCTGGCTTTTACTTTGTATCCAGAAAAGACTGAGAAAATAGAAAATAAAAATATATGGGGTTTTTTGTCTGTTTGATTGGTTCATTAATTTTTTTTTGCTTCTTATTTAATTCAGAGTTACTATTCTCTTTTACAGGTCTCCAACCATGGCAGGTGGATTGTTTTCTGTGAGCAAAAAGTATTTTGATTATCTTGGTTCGTATGACACAGGAATGGAAGTCTGGGGAGGAGAAAACCTTGAATTCTCATTTAGGGTAGGTGGCTTAATTGAAAGTTTCTTTTCCTGAGAATAAAACAAGTTTCTTATTTCTTTCTTCATGCCCTTTTACATAGTGAAATAGCTGTAATAAAAGCAAGTGTTAAGGAGAGAGTATTTTGGAAGGTCTTTATATGAATGTTTTCCTCACACTTTGGTATAGCTGTTATTTTCCTTCCAAATAGGCATTTTAAAGCAATTTTTAAAACATGTCTTTGTTTTGAGTGCCAGTATAAAATACAAGTGGTGGTGTGATACTAGCGGGTAAAGTTTACATTCTGTGGCTTGAAGAAGGTCATTGGAAAGAAGCATTTGTAATTCTTTGATGTGACTGATTGAGTGAGCAGGAGGCAGCTGGTAGCTGGTCCCCGTGGGGCAGGACAAGGCAGCCCCTGTACTTCTTTTAAGGCTTTATTCTATTTCACCTCAGGAAAAGTTTATGTAAGGGTTATATAAGATGATGGGGAAGATCTCCAGGAACTGTAGAGCTGCACCTCACCGGGGGTGGGCCATGCTTAGGTGTGAGGCAGATAGATAGCTGTAATGAAAAAGATTTACAGCAGGGAAAAAGAGAGGAGACACAAGATAGTCCAGACTTGATAAGCAAGATAGTCTTGTCCTCCTCAACTCAGCTGTTATGAGTGCGTGGCTGATTCCTACTGAGCACTGGCTGCCTATGGTTTGCCCCATATCACACTTAGCTCACTGAAGCAATCCAGTCATGACGTAGGAGGGACACTGTAGGGCCGCTTTTGGCTTTCATGGAATTCACAACTTATTGTTCTGGATTTCCCTTGTCTGTTGTGCCCATCACCAGTTATGTTTTATGGTCATATTTGCCTTTCTGTGAGTCACTGAATTGTGGTACCGTGTGACAACAGATTTCAGGGATAAATTGCATTTTAATGTTACAAACCCACTTTCTTGAGAAAGGAGCCATCAGCAGATTGTCTCTCTTGATGTCAGAGAAGCATGGAGTCTTCCTGGCTGCTGTTCCTGTCTCCTGCTGCCTGTAGTGCAGGAATCTTAGCACAGAGGGTACAGAAATATGGAAAGAAAATTATTAGGAAAGATAATAAGCACAGGCCTAGAGTTGACATGGTTTCTTTCTGGAGGGGGGATTTCTCAGCTGAAAATGCTGTTTGCGTTTATGGCCACCTCCTTTTCCACACAGGGAAAAGTTTCTGTCACGTAAGTCCAAACACACAGCCTACTTAGTAGTCTTGGTCTAATTCAGCAGGCCTCCACCTGAAGCTTAAAGTAGTTGACCGACCTCCATCAGCACTGTGTCCCTCTGAAGCAGAAGTCTCCCAGTTCTGGGGTATCCAGAACTGCAACTCCTTTTAGAAAATCTAAAGAGAGTGTGCTCGGCATGCAGTTGTTGGCTCTCCGCTCTTTGTGTCGCTTTTCAGGAGACAAAAGGTTGCAGGCAGAACAAGCCTGATCCTTTCCCTTTATGACCTGGAGTGCCCCTGTGCTGCCTGCTGCTTTAGAGCCAAGTTTTCCTTGCCATAGACCTCTATGAGGCTCCAGCAGCCAGTGTCATTTTTTATGAGGTGCAGCAGCCTGTATGAGCAGTGCTTTTACTCCTTTAGCATGTGGTCTCCTCATGGGACACAGGAAGTATCAGAGGTGGCCTAGTGCACAGGAAGACCACAAAGGAAGCAGCAGAGTCTCCAGGAGAGAGCACATGAGCACACTGCTGTGGCCCACAGGGGCCAAGCAGGCACATGGGTGCAGGTGGATCAAGCGACTTCTGGGACACAAATGATTTTACAGGGCAGACTATGCAACAGCCAACCAATATGCCTTGTCATGTCAGTTTTGCTGGTGCAGATTGCCAGTAGGATCTGGCAACATGCTTTCCTCTATTTGATTTGGAGCCCCTCTATTTGTGCTCCCTGTGGTGAGGATTTTTGTGGAAAAGAGCAGAGTGCTATGATGTTATTTAACTGTGTTCTTTGGCTGCCCACGGTGCTCGAAGAGGTCAGGAGGGATAAATCAGTGTTAATGCTGTTGTCCTTGTGTTTTCTAGATGTGTCAGACCTGAAAATTAGGAGCAAGACTACTCAAAAACACTGTAAATTAATTTATTTTTGTTCTTCTTTCTGTAAACACCGCTCTCTCTCGATGACATGAAAAGACTTGTCCTCAAGCTTCCTCTTTCTTGTACTTCAGTCATTCTAAACCAAAGAAATTCTCTGTGGTTTTGAGAGGTGTAACAAGGAAAAAGCTTTTGCTAAAAGCATGATGACTAAGAGAGATGGAAGCTACGTGCTGAATGCAGAATTGAGTCAATGTACCTTGATTTTGGATTGCTTAATGCTATTTAGCTGGATAAAATTTCACTTCATGGGCATAATGGGCATTCAAACTCCTCTTTCAGAGGGATTAAAAACATACTCTTTCATCTTCTCCCTCTTGTACAAGGAGCAAGGGGAATCTGATTGCGGCTTCCTTCCTCCCTCTGCTCTTAGTCCTGCTAGTGGCACTGCAATGTAAGTTTGTTTCTGGAGACTGAGGCTTGATACACCTGAGGTCTGTTCTTTAGCCCGCTATGTGTGAAAAGACCTTTCTTCTTTTAGAAATTTTATTGCTCATGAGCCTGGATGATATGCCTCCGATTGCCTGGGGTCTTCTCTTTTCTGACCTTTTTGTATTGTTTCTTTCTGTCTGGATATGGAAATCTGTCTTGTGTCAGGAGTAGCCAGGATGGGTCCGTGTGTCTGAGATGCCTCCACCCACCCAACTTCCAGCAGATTGTGCAAGAGAACCACCCGGGGGGGAGCTCAGCTGCAAATCAGCAAGAAAAATTGTAGCAGAGAGAGGGGCAGGAACATAGTGGTTTTTACATTTTGTCTTTGTTCAGGATGTAGCATCCTTTTTTTATTTTTTTATTTCCTCTAGAGAGTCCTAGGATGTTAGAATGAACTGGTAGAGCTTATAGAGCTTTTCTTCTTTAGCATTCACTGACCCAGCATTACGTCAGTTGTCCAATCTCCTTCCTGTCAGGGAAGGGGGTTGCGAGGCAAGATCTGAGCATTTTCAGTAGGTTTTCATAATGCCACCACCTGTCTCTGAAAACAAAAGAAAAAATACTGGTAGTCTGCATGCATCAAGATGAAAATGAAAGTAAAAAGGAATGTGACCTTGTTTTCTTCTCGAGGTGAAGGAAAAATGTATGCTTTTATAATGCGAGCGGTGAGTTAGCCAGACGTAGTAAAGAAACATCTCTTTATGTATGTGAGCATGCAAAATATGCATGAAACCTAGTGTGCTTTTCTGTTACAGAAGAAATAGTTTTATGGGAGAATCTTCTCCAGAGTCACTTATTTAGCATTTAGTAATCAACTTTAGTTTCTCTATTAAATTCCTTGCTTTATTTTATGTCTGTTCATTTGTACCTGATTTTATATAGAGGTCATGTTTTCCATTCAAATGAAAATAAGTAAACCTTTTGAGGAATTGTTTAGCTGAAATATATTTAATTTGCTTTTGTAATGGGAAGACAAGATAAGTTTTGACTGTTTTAGTGAAATAAGTAGAATTCAATAAGCATTGTTTAGCAACCTACAGTTATTTTTTAGAGAGTTTTAGCTATTGAAAATTCAGCTGTTATGGACTTCTCTTTTTGTCATCAATTTAACAGAGTATGGTCAGTCTATTTCATTCCATTGAAATCAAATTTTATCAAGGAAGAGTTGAAGCATATGCTTCCTTTAGCTGTACATTTTTACTTCAGTAGTCTTTATTGTCTGTTCCTCATATCTTGATTAAAAACAGACTGATCTAAAAAGTAATGATGAATAAAAAATGCTTATGTGGACTATGACAAATTGGAAATTGTTAAACTAATAAATTGAATGGTTTTAATATTTGCTAACAAATTTTGCATGATAAACTGCAACTTAACAATTAATTTTGAATATAGAAATAATAATTATGAAAAACACTGTTTTGGAACAACTCTCAAAAAGGGAGATCTTAAAGTGAAAGTGGATAACTGGTTTCATAGCAGCTTTCAAAATGGCAGTAGGGTAACTTTCATGTGAACCTATGCAAATTGTTTAAAAGATCAGTACAGAATTTTAGATTTCTTGTATAATTCCTTTAATCATCTTTCTGTTCAAATGACAAGTATACTGTTACCCTGAAAAGCAGTGAAAAAGAAGAGAGAAACCTCACATGAAAAACAAGAAATATGAATTTTAAATCCAGAAAGTAAAGATTATCCACTGCTCCCTATAGTTGAATAATGAATTACCTATACCTTTAAGGAAACAGTTTGTTTCAGAAGTAGACATATGTATGTGAGTGCTTACACTTTTGTAATTAAGCACAATATTGTGCCACACAAAGGTCTGATGTCGTTATCCAAAATCAAATCAATAGAGACAACGTTCATTGTTTTCCAAATTAAGAAATTTGAGAGAAACTCTAAGTATCTTTTTAAAAAAAATAACAGTCTAAAGAAAAGCTCCATTTTATGTATGCTGAAAACCTTCATCTGTAGTGACTTTTTAAATCTCTAAAAGTCCCAAAGAGAGAGGTGGGAAAAATCCCATCACTGATCTTTTGACATTGTTAGCAACAGAACTTTTATTTGCAACTTATATGTTTCATTCCTGCTGTGTTCATTTGAATAACATGTAATTAAAATTGTATGTCTTATGCAAGAAGGTTGTCAGGGAGCAAACCTCTACCCCTTAAACCTATTTCAGCTAATTTCCCTTGTCTTCCATTACAAAGGAATGATGAGCTACCACTTACGCACACTTGAATACGCAAGGAGAATTCTAAAAATCTATAGAAAGTCTATCAGAGTCATTGGTGATAGCCTCGAGTTAGTTCAAGTGCAGTAACATGTCCCGCCTTGCCTTCCATCTGACCAAATTTCAGAAACCTTGTTTTAGGCACCTTTCAGGAACAGGACATCTGCCACATTGTGGTCCCACACGATATTAAATAGGAAATACCTAGCTGTGCTTTCCTTTCATTACATCAAATTTGAGATCAGAATGGGTAATGGGAAAATGGGTGTGTAGGTGAACTGCCAAAAGTCCGTGGTTGTCAGAGGAGAAGAGTGTAATTAGAAAAATGTGCACAGAGTGCTGAGGCTAATGGATCCACTTGGTGATTACTTATGGGCAGTACATTTCCTGACCTGGGGAGCCAGAGGCAGGAGGATGAGCACAAGAGCAGAGTTAGTTCTGCCAATTCCATATTCAGATGCAAGTACTTTCCTTGGCAGCAAGTAGGAATATTGGTTTAGATAAAAGGGAGGTTGTTTCACTGTTGTTGATTGCACCACCATAAGTTAGTTATAGAAGTAGTTTGCTTCTTCTTTTCATTTCGTTTCATTTTCGTTCCTTTGCCAGCATTCCAGTGGAAAAGGTTAGTTTGATTTTATCACCAGGCACTTATGCCTTTCTTCTACAGTGCTGATTGTACAAGTGGGAATACAATTTACTGTTCTCCAATGATATGACAAGCTTACCTGTTTGGTTAAATCAGCTTTCCAGTAGAATATAGGCAAAGATTTCTGGTAAGGATTAGTTATCAACCATTGGTTTCTTTCAGAAGTGGCTATTCACATGGTTAATTTGGAAAAGAAACAATGCCTGCATAACATATATCATAGACCATATCCTATCATGAGTACGTAAAGCTAAGAAAGGGATATTGCACACCAGATAAAACCAGAGATGAGGTTATCTCCTTATGAAGTCAGAGCAAATTACTGACAGCAACAAGAATGTAATTTTATCTAGTTTAATTATCAAGTGACACACAAAATTATTGTGTGTGTTACTTACAGTATGGTGTGATTCTCGAGAAGGTATCATCCTTACACAACATCCTTGTTGTTACTATATCCTTCTTCTTGCAAAGTTTCAAATTAATGATACACGCAATGTCAATTCCTTGCTCAGATATGGCAGTGTGGAGGAAGTCTTGAGATCCATCCTTGCTCCCATGTAGGTCACGTTTTCCCCAAACAAGCTCCATACTCACGGTCCAAAGCTTTGGCAAACAGTGTGCGTGCAGCTGAAGTGTGGATGGATGAATATAAAGAACTTTATTACCACCGAAACCCACACGCTCGCCTGGTGAGTTCAAGTCCATCGTTTCTGCAATTTCAGTAGGCTTTGTTTTCAGTGAACTATTAATTAAGCTAATATTTAACATGAAGTGCTTTTTATGTTCGTTTCTTATTTCTTCTAAAACTTTTTCTCAAGCATAGAATAAGTGTATAATTTTTAATTCCTTGGAAAAAATTTGAAAATCCATAAGACTACAAGAATGCCAAATCTATGTCAATATTAAATGAATGAATGAAAGAAAGAATAATGTTAAGTGAGGTGGCCAAAATAAGGGGGAGTTTAGCTTAAATTGTGCTCTTCTGTGAAATGGCTGATACAGGATTCTCTCAATAAAGAATTACAGAAATGCAATTAATGAATGCAAATTGGCAAGTTTGAGTGAACAGTAGACCTTTAGATGAACAGCATGATAATAATCCTTAGCAAAATTACCTGTCTTGTGATAATTGTAAAACTTTGGACTGATGTAAAATAAAATAGATATTTCTGTTTGCTTTACTACTACACCATGTTTGTTAAGGAAACTCCAAACCCAAAATCAATATTGAAAAGATTAAATTAATTAAAATAAGTCCTGGGAACTCAGATGAAAATGTTCCCAATAAAATGTTTAAAGTATCGGTTCTGTTGTTTTGGGTGGTTTTTTTTTAAATTAGTATTTTTATTTGCTTTGAAATGAAAATACAAGATCATTTGTTAACAAAACTTTTAAAGAAGATAAATACTGTGAGAATTGAGCATGTCAAAATAGTAAAGCAGTGTGCAAATTAATAACTTGGACATATTTATCATGAGAGGCTGGAAGACACATAACACTGAAAATGTCCTCACAGTGCCTAGAAATGGCTTAAATGAACCTCTGACACAAGGCCCAGAATTCAGGCCCAAAAGTAATCATTCTGTGCTGTTGCTTGTTTCTAGAGTTGCCTGATCTTCCCAGGCCCTACTCTTTGTATGGAAAGTTTTCTAAGCACTGGCTTTCTGGTTTTGTTCCTCAGGAGAGCTGTCCTGCAGTTGCTGCTGGGCACTTGTCTCCTGCTACACCAGACCAGAGCTTAGGGACTGAGGGACAGGGAGCTCCTGGCATGTTTGAGTGACCTACCCCAATAGATATGCCAGGGGAAAAAATGCTCTTGAAACTGTTAGGATACTGGAGGATACTGGGGAAGCTGCATTTGGTTAGCTTCCATCTTGTGTTCCTTTGGATTAAACTGGGTAATTAGACTATTATAGTCTACACATTTGTAAATTTTTTTTTTTACTTTAGCGTCATAAAAGCCATTTAGGTTTTATTATTAGAGTCTGACTTAGAGAGAAATGTGGGATTCACCCATAGGCAATGACAGGCCGATTCTGCTTGTCATACGCAAAAAGAGCAATGAACACTGACAGTTTTTCTTGTAAAATGCTGAGCAGCTTATGTCTCTAATGACAGAGCTTTATCTTTAAAGGATATTTGTGTGTTAGTATTGGAAGTTTTGCATATTGGCTTATTGTAGCACCGTGGATGTAAGCTGAAACTCATGTGTTTTTTTTTTTCCCATATCAGAGCTCTTGCCAATGAACTCTGGTTTCTATAATACTCTGTGCACCACTTGTTGCATCAGTTGAGTTCAGACCTTTTTACTTCATCAAACCCAAATAATCAGTTCTGTAACATAATGGAAAAAAGATTGAAGCTATGGCTGCAAAAATTGGTTTCATGAAGTTTCACTTCAAGATTAATGTTCAGACCTCAGAACTAATATGTCACGCTGTTTATTTATTCAAACAGGCATCTCTGCCTCTGCTTTACATCTGTTTTGTGTTTTCAGTGGTATTTCCACAGCTTTGAGAAATGCAAATAAATTTGTTGTTTGAGAAAATAGTGTGTCAAGTGACCTGTAAAAATCTGGGGGCAGTGAACACTATTTCATGCCTGACTATCTGAAGCCCTAGTCAATATAAAGATAGGTTTTTGAAGACACACATGAAAAGATGTGAACTCTGCTCCAATCCATAGACAGAGAAAAAGCCTACAATGAAAGCTTTTCTCTGGAGGTTTATGACTTCATACTCCTCACCCCCCAAAACTATGAAGTTCAAAGGAAACATTAGCAGATTTTACAGGTTTCATCAGTTAAATGTAAAACTGTACAGGTAGTTTGCAAATGGATGGTGACATAATTTAAAATCCTCAAGATTCATTCACTGCTTTTGAGATTTCCAATTATCCAGTTAAAGGAAGTCTTATTTTCTAATACACCTTCTTGGTCTCCAGCAATCTGTATTCAAGGGCTTACTCACTTGCGGATTCAGGGAGTTTTCTCAGAATGTCTTCTAGAATATTTGAAAGTTTTACTTGCACAGTTCCAATTCTTTTTTGTCAACATTTAACGAATGTAAGGATAATGAAATCAAATCCAGCACCCAAACATGGTGATTTTTCCTGGCTAGAAGTCCTACTCATCACTGTAGCATACGGTTCCTAATAATGTATATAGATAATTTAAAAGAGAGCATCTGTTCTGGATGGGGTTTTTTTCTGGATGGGTTTTTTTTAATCTTTTTTCTTTCTTTTTCTTTCAGGAGCCATATGGAGATGTGACAGAAAGAAGACTTCTTCGAGAGAAGCTGAAATGTAAGGACTTCAAATGGTTCTTGGAGAATGTGTATCCAGAACTTCACGTACCCGAGGACAGACCAGGCTTCTTTGGAATGGTATGTGGCTGCTGAGAAGGGGCCTCCTTGCAGTTCTCTGAGCTCTCCTACTAACTCCGTGTGAATGTGTTTTTATGCCAAAGTCAGTTTGGGATTTTAGTAGAATTCAGTTAGAATTGATAGGCTTTAAAACATGGTTTCTATGAGAATATTTTAGGGCATGCTGTTTATGAAAGAGTTCTGCGAGAGAGTAGATCAGGTAACGTTGCCATCAATTTCTCCTTCTAAGTGACATCTTGAGACTGTTAAACGTGGGAAAGGATGTCATTTTCATTTCTTTAAACTTTACATAATGAAAAAAGAGAATGGTAGAGTGTTTTAGTTTTTAGTTGTAGAGTTGAAAGGAGAAAGAGTGTGCTTTGAAACGTATCTTTGCACATTTTATCTGATGAAAACTATGACACTCTAGGGTAATGGGAAAGACAGCTGGTGCTAAGTGCTCCCAAGTCATAGGGGATTCTGTATGTCAAAACCAACATGTTAATTTTTAATCAGGAGGTCACTTTAGACCAGCAAGGGTTGGTTCAATATCAGAATCCACTTCTCTTTTTAAGATTTGACAGCTTACTATGCTATTTGCAGCTTACGAATAAATATAAAGTATAGCTCCATGCATATCACATTACTGTAATCTCATTTGGTAGGGATGAAGGCAGAGAATGATGCAACAAATAACCTGTTTCTTCTGAAAAATCACCATATACCTGCTGCGTGTTGGGAAGACAAAACTTTACCTTTCCGCCAGGCAAAGATGTATCAAACACCTCCCTGATTACCAATGCCACATTGACTTAGAAGTACTTTTGGTGGTAGCTTGATCACTCTGCAGATCCAACTAAGCTGCGTTCCCATACTGCTGCAGCACTTCTAACCCTTGTCTTGCTGCCATTTGCCCTTCGGTTACTCAGTCTCTGCTGGATCTCCTTCAGGAACAGAAAAAATCTGATGACTGTGGGCATACAAAACGTACAAGAACCAAGTCTCCCCACAGTCTACCCTAATATCTTTTTTACTTCTTAAATGAAAAAGATCCTAATGTGAAAATGCTCTGGTTTCCCATGGGGAACTGTATTTCCCATGGGGAACTGTGGGAGCTCCCACAAGGGAGTGCATCAGTTGTCAGCAAAGCCCTTAGGGGAGCCTCAGGGAGAGTTACCACGCTCTTACATTTGTCTTGGAGCTTGTACTGGAGGTAGTATCTCTGTGTGATCACTGGCATGAAAGGTATTACCCATCGTTACCCGGTACCTTGAACAAACCATGGTACAACATTAGTTTGGTTTTTGTTGTTTTGTGCTGGATTGCTACTCATAAGGTCAGGGACAGTTGAAGCAGTAAGATATTATAAGACTTACCTTCCAGGAGCAGTTAAGTAACTTCATCTTCCCTCCACCTCCATCCTTCACCCTCCAAAAGAAAAGCTGGACTGGTGGTGGTGATAATGCTTCAACTTCCTGGGGAGGGGGAGGAATTTGTGCAGTTTCTTTCACGATTTGACTGCACATGGCATCCTCAAGCAAGATGTCGACAGTACCTAGAAATAATAGTTCTCGTTCGGAGCTGCTTGAGGTATCTATAGTGTAATTTAGGTGTGCTCTATGTATTTCTCTAAAAACAATTCTTAAATGCTGTCATCTGGTTGTGAACATAATAAGATTACACCATTTTTGGGGGGAGAAAGAATTTAAAATGTAATTAAAGTACAGTTGTACTCTAAGAAACTGAGTGCAAAAATGACACCTACTGATTCAACTGATTTGTGGATTTTGAGTCCTATCTGCTCTCTTCGATGAATCATTGATCATGTTTTTACTCCTGCCTTAGCTGTGTGGTGCTTTTCTGGTTCACAAAAATACTATGTTTAAAAGTGCAGCTTTGGTAACAGCACAGCTTAGTGTGAGGTTATTTAATTGTTCAAAGAGAATACAAAGGCATGTGGGGATTTGTCCCTCCCTTGAAAATCTTTACACTTTTGAACTGAAGTTGACAATCTATCTAAGATTACCCATAAGTCAGCCATGTGTTATTGAAATAGAATAAGCAATTATTGAGCAGCATTCAGTGCTGTGCACTGACAAATACACCCTTGTGCTATTTTTTTTTTCTAGATATGTAGATAAAAGTATTCTTACCAAGTTTGGTCATCTAAAAAGTTAGCTGCCTAAAATTTTATTTAAACATACTGAATTTTGAATTTTTTCGCCTGAGATATGATTGCATTGCTGCAAACTGCCTGAGGCCTAGAAATGAGAGAAATATCATCTTACTTCTCCTTGGGCTTCAAGTAGCTTTGGAACTTTGTGTGGGACATGAACTAATCCTTTTGACTTGACTGTGAGACCATACTATGTTCTGACATGAGAAGTTTCTCTTTGTTCTTCTCAAAGACTTTCTAGCTGATATTTCTTCCATCTGAATGTGAAACAACTAAGTTGGTAGATGTCTGTTGAGACTATCTAACCATAAAGGCATCTGTGACTGACTGAATCAATTGGGAGATCAAAAACTTGAATCTTTCTATTGGCAACTTCCTTCCACATTTTCCTCTAAGACCATGTCATCTTCAATTAATTTCCAAATGCTTAGTCATAATTTTCTTTTAATTTAAACCAGATATAACCTTGAGAAAATCAGAAAGAAAGATTTTAAAACCATGAAGAATTTTGTTTTGCTGTGACATGAAAGAGCACATTATATAAATTATTTAAATATCACATGAGATATATGGACCGGCTTACAGAAGAAGAGATCTTAACTATTTGGCTTAAATTATGTTATCAAAGATAACATAACATGTCTGAGATTCCAAGTTCTCAGAGGCTCCAAAACAGCCTCCTCTAGGGTATACCTCTAAAACTGCATTATAACCCAAATTGTAGAGCTTCCACTTAAAATTGAACTGGTACCCAAGATTATGACTGACTAGACCTGAAGATCTGATGTCCATCATGGGAATATGCACTACTTTATTGGCTGTACAGCCTCTGAAAGCTTGATAAAGACTTCTTAAAAGGAAGTGGAAAGAAATTCAAGTGTTTGATAGTAAACTCAAGTGAACACACCGTGGCTTGAACCACATGCTTATATGTTTTTGAGCCTCCCAGGGAGAAGTGGACTTGCTGGGGTGAGCAAATGAATCCAGCAGTGAGTCCCACAATGAATCATCGTTGGTTCCTTCAGAGGATCTTACTAGTCAATGCAATGTAGCCATTTCAACATTGCACTTAAGTTAACAGGTGATCTGAAAATAGCATACACACAGTAAAATCATTCCCAGTAACTGCTCAGATGACCTTTGCGGTAAAAGCTTATGTCTGGTCATTACTAGTGAAGCTGTTTGGCTTTCCACAGTATCATCTGCCCATATCACTAATACGTCAGCACCACTGCCACTGTGGTAAAATAAAGAGGATTCTGATCTATTTTGTGAATGAAGAGAAAGGTTGGCTGTGCTCCATTGGCTGTATTTATCAACTAATGTAATGAAGTTTTCATGTCAAAAATCTGTTGTTGATGCTTTGCTTACAATGGATTTTATCTTAAAAAAAACCAAGCCCAAACTAATAATTATTCATAGAATGCTGTCTATATCATGTAGTTATATGCAAGTGTCCAGATGTTGGGAAACAAGAGATTTAAATTTCTCCAAGCAGTAAGGGATAAGGTCTAAGGTGAATATCTCAGTAGTTGCTGTTTTCTACCTATCCCAGCCTCCGGATTGGTGACTAAATGGCATTGTAGAGTAACACCAGCAACATTTCAATAGAAGGCAAATGCTGTACAAAGACGCTGTGAGTAGTCCTGCATGGGTAGAATGTTTTAGAACTTAACTATGTGTTTCAATGGCAAGGTGATCAACATTTTTTCTTGCTTCTGTTTCTCTAATGCAGCATTCTGCAAAAGAAATAAGGTAAGTCACAGACAAAATTTTGTTCTTATTGCATGACTTTTTTATGATAGATATAGGAAAAAAGCTTCAGAAATGAGTGGACTAGCACTGTTTTGGTAGAGCTGTTACACGTAAAAGGATCTTAAACTGTATATTCTCATTTCACAAGAGAAAAATATTTCACAAATTCTCTCACACATTTTTTCTGCCTTATACCGGGGCAGATTTTATTATTTTTTTGCATAAATGGTGCAGATGTTCAAATCTTTGTGTGTCATTTCAGATCAGGTCATTTAAAAGCTTAGAATATATTATTCCCACAGATTGGGTCTTGAATACCTATTCAGCTTCCTGATAAAGTGTGGGCACAAAACAGCATCTACTGATGTCTGATAAAATGAACTAAAAGAACCAGGTCAAAATGTGGACCATGTATATGTAGGAATATGTCAGCATGTATCACAAGCATTTGTGCATGAAAGAGACAATGAGAGAACGTACACAGTAGCATCCTGGGAGTACAGCCTCGTTTTTTAACCACCTGAAATAAAGCTTAAGTTCAATAAGCTTTTAAACAGCTTTTGTTGTGTGTATTTGGGCATTGAGTAACATACATAGGAGAGTTGCAGTAGTTCTGATGGTGCATGGCATTTTCAAATAAGGTTATTTAGAATTCCAAGCCACAAAGGGGAGCACATGCTTGACCATGTGCCAGGGGCTGATGGTGAAGAGTGGTAGCAGGGGCATTGGGTTTCCTGGAAGGGCACCACAGATAAGGGCTTTGCTGGCCTTGGAGCCAGGACACAGTCAGCCAAAGTCATACGTTATTAAACATACTAACGAGAGACCCTGTGATCCTGAAGAGAGCTGCTGACAATGACTGAAACTGATTCATATTTTTAGAGATACAGTTACCAGTTTTAAGTTGTTATGACTTTTAAGTTGACATTTCTTGTTGTAGAAGGTAGAAACATGAGAACCTTATTGTTTGGTTTATGTAGTTCCATGGTAGCTTAAAAAATAATCTCTATAAGACACTTCTCTTTCCTGGTTTTCTAAGTGTAAACCTTGCCTTGCATTAGGAAGATAAACAAAATGTCCTCTTTTGACTGCTCAAGGAGGTTTGCAGTGGTCTAGTGTGGGAATGGGCACAAATCAGTGAAAAGACGTTGGGTGGCACTGAAAGTAGAAGCTGGGAAAGCAAAACATATGTAGAACACAAGAATCTAATTTTCCAGCTTGTGTGGTTTGCTCTGTGGTGGATATGGGTCCTGGAGGGTTTGTTTTGTTTGGTTGGTTTTAGCCTTCTGCAATTCCTTTGTGTCCCTTCATTCTCCACACTAAGAACTGAAGATAAAATTATCATGACTAGGGAAGAACTGTGAAATTACACCTTGCTAAACTAACTCTTGTGAGATTTACGTTGCTTATTCTTTTTGTCTGTGATATAATTACACTCAACAACAGGGGCATTCAGCTTCTTGTTTACAGAACCTATTTTGCTGTGTGTAATTTCAAATTTGGTTAATCAGTACTTGTTAAGGCATTGTTTAACTTATTTTCAGTTACTTTTGCCTCCTGAATACTTAAATGCAAATCCTTGCTAATTAGCCTGTTGTTTTTAAAATCAGCTAACTTAATACTTCAAAATTTAAAAATTATGCATCTCTTATGTCAAAGCTCAGGAACACTAGTAAAGAGCGTTTAATATCATATCTAGTTCTTTTTCCAGGGATATATTTTGTCTGCTTACATGATTTCTGATCTTAAAATGTGTCTGCTTGTTCAACCTCAAGAGGGTACTGGAGTCCTTTCGAGAACAAATCCTTCTAACATTTCCCATTTGACAAACTGAGAGAACTATGTAGTCATCTTTTCATAAGAAATTTGAACAAGTAGATCCTGGGGGGGAAAAAAAAGACTTGGCAGACTATTTTGTTCTGCATGACTTGCTGGTTTGTTGGGTTTCAACAGTTTTTTGTAGTTTCTACCTACTTCCTTTGCAAATACACTGGAACACAGCGTCATTCCTAGGGGAAACCATGGTACCTGGCTGTTTCAATGCCCAAAGTCAAGATGGTCCCAACAGCTTTATTTCACATTAGTCTGAGAGATGTTACCATTGGATCCATTTGATCTATTCCTGTTAATTTGCGATGGATCTCACAGCCCAGCTGGATGGGTGTAAAGTGAGTATAGAATATCTTCCTTACTTCAGACTAATACTTATAAACATTCTTTTGTTTTGTTTAGCTGAAGAATAGAGGAATGGAAAACTTCTGTTTTGATTACAACCCTACAAATGAACATCAAATAACTGGACACAGGGTCATACTGTACCCATGTCATGGCATGGGACAAAATCAAGTAAGATTCATGTTTTATTATCATTTTGGTTAACACAATGGTTGTAATGTAAGAAAGTATGGTAAAGTCATTGCAGTAAGGCTGAGAGAACATGTTGCCACAGTAAGGTGATCTTAGTTCTAATTTTGATTCTTGCACTAAACGCTTTTTATTTTGACGTATCTTCAGATCAGGTTTTCTTCATTCTGCAGATGTGTCTACCAAGTCCAGAGAACTCATGCATACCTTTATTATGCCTTTCATCAGAGCTCATTAGCAGGGGTTAATAGCACAGCAGTGCAGCTATAGTGCTTATAGGCCACTGTTCACTCATCTCCAGCTGGTCTTGGGCAGACCAGCACACCTCTGAGATTTTGTCTGTCCATGCCTCCAAGACCCTTAACAGCTTTGAAAACCTCACCTAGTTCCACCTGGGTCTGTCATCATGTCTCCTCCTCTTGGTGCTTGTGTAAGTGTGCAAGAGGTTTTGGACTGCATCTTCTCCCGTAATACATTCTCCAGAAATGTCCTCCTGGACTCAGGCTCCACAACCGTGGAGAGCAGGGATCCATTTAACACTTTCATTTTTACTCTTGGTTTTAACTTCTGAAGCTGAAAATGCTGGTGTTTTTCTCCATGATGATTGAAACACTGTGTGCAGCAGTGGTTAGTTATGATGCCCATAAGCCTCTCTGCATAAAGCCATTGTAAAAGTGTTGTGAGGCACTGTATGCCAAGTTACAGTGGCTGTTTTGCATGATTTTCCATGACCACCTTCCATACTTGAGGTTTGCTGTTTGATGTGTGGCATGTGGCATGTACTTGCCTATCGAGCTTGATTTTTGGCTTCTAACCCAGATTACACTAAACACAGTACTTGAGGTGTGGTCTCACCAGTGCCGAGTATCAGAGGTCTTGTGAGACCTCTTGTACATAACTCTGTGACAGCTTGGATGGCTTAACTGTTTGGGTCTTTTTTTAAGGAAAATAATCCAAACATTCAATTGAGAATGTTTGGAAAAGGGAAAAAAAGGGAAAATCTAGCTTGGAAAAGAACGAGAAATGTGGCAGATAAGCAGCGTATCCGTTGTTGTTCTGGATTCTGCTTAAAAGAAGACATAAAAGCTCAAGGAGTGAAAAACAAGTCTGCTTTGAGGAGAAAGCTTCTAATATGAATTGCATTTTATATGAGAAAGGGAAAAGGAACAACAATCTGAGCACTGTACTTCAGATCTTAAAAGGAAATAGATTTGTTGCTGATAGCGAGTTTATTGTCTTAAATATTAGAACTGTTATTTACTATTATTTATTAGTTCATGTCTGGTTTATGTCTTAATTTTCCTAATGTTTCTGTCCTGGAGGCTAAGATGCAGGGGAAGGCAGAAGGAGAATCTTGCACCATAGAAGCCAAAGGATGTCAATACTCACAGATGTATGCCAGTCATGCTAAGCCCCACCCTACCAACCCATTTTACTCCCTCAGTTCAGTTTCATACCTGAGTTAAGCACAGTTCTATACACCTATATAGAAGAGAAGTTAATAATCAGATAACCCAGTTAAGCCACTTTCTTATAAGTAAGAGCTGATTGTTTTTATAGATTAAGAAGTATTAAATTTATAAGGTTACATGCTAGCACACAGAAGGTGTTTATACATTTGTTTTTTCCTTGTATTACAGATTACAGAGAGGTTGAATATTTGTATTTCTCTGAACCAAAAAAGTTCATTTAAATTTTATCCCTTTCACCAAGAAAAATAAAGACATGGGATAAAAGGTGAAGGCAAAAGAGAAGTACAATTGAGAGATGAATTGTCATGAGATGACATTTTTACAGTTATCATTTGTTTAGCTAGCACTAAAAGATGAACTGAATTTACTGCAAAGATATCACATCGCTGGATATTAGTGCTCTTCCATCTCTGCTGATGGTACAATGCATCTGTGTACCTGCGGTCGCAGGCACGAGGATAAAAGCACCGATACTCTGAACTGTGCAAACCGCTCCCTCTGCTGGCATCCAAGCAGGAGGAGGAAGGAGAAATGGAGAAACTACCTGACTGCAATATAAACCAATAAAAGAAAATATGAGATGACTCAAGAGAACTGCAGAGCCTGAGGAAGGAAGGTCAATCACAGGAAATGGATAAAACAAGATTAGTGAGATGGGTAAAAGGCATGGGAGGGTTAACAGGAGCCAGGGAAAAGGGGCCAAGGTGACAGAGGGCAGTAGTAGTTTTGGACAGAGGTTGGACAACAGGTGATGAACAGGGCATGTGTGATAGAGGGAGGAGTAGTTAGGAGCTACAGGGAGGGAGAATGAAACAGAGTCACTGGAGAATATTTTAGTGGAAAGGGGCAGGGTTACAGAACATGACAGCAGAGATGTCATGTTTGTGTGCAAATGAGGGCATGAGTAGGGGTGTCAGGTAGTTGCAAGAGAATAATGGACAACAGGAAGAGCTGCGGGTGGGGGAACAGAGAGAGGCTAAAATGAGAGAAGATGTAGAAGCATAAGTGAGATAGGAAATGGAAGTCAGGGTTGCTGAGCTTGCACCTCCCTTTTTTGGCTCATAAATAGCTGTGAAATCTACCAGCAGGACATTTCTCTCCATTTCCTTCCCATCCCACCACGCTTTTGACAGTTATTCTTAAAATGCTGCTCCTGGTGGTATGAATTCCTTGGTAGATGACAGTGTCAGAACCAAACCAGTCAAATCTCCCATATGTACATCCACCGCTGTCGGCTGATGAAATGATGATGGCAAGGTTGATCATCCTCTTCACTGGAAGCAATTCTCCACTTAGAGTGACCCCTGAATATCTGTGTGCACTGTACTGAGAAGAGAGAGCTCTGTGATCTTGGTTATTTGTAAGGTCCAGCACCTGATCCCGTTTTAATCTCAGTAAATAAGAACCACTCTCAGATAAATAAAGTCCCTGGTGATTTGTAGGTGTACTTCCTTGAACCCCTGGCCTAACTGAGAGGGTTCCCTTTAGTCCTTTTGAGTTGCTTTTGTGTAAGCAGTAAGAAAACTAACTGGGAGTTGCTTAAAATTAGCAGGTTCCTTACAGCAAGAAGGTGAGGATAACACTGCAGTGATAGGAGCTGATTGTATATGGAAGAGAGGCCAGAAATAGAGACAGGAAATACAGGCGCTGGCTACTCAGTGCTTGCACCTCAAGGTGCTTATGTTTTGTGGAAGTATCTGCCCCAGTAGATGAGAATGAAAGGCTTTGAAATTTAACAGCAATAAAGCCCATTCCTCTTCTTGGTTTGGCTTGGAAGCAGAACAGAGAGCACCAATGCATGATGGCAGGAAGTTGACCTGATGTGGTAAGAGGATGGGAAAACACTGACTGACAGTATCCTTCTCAATACTCCCATTTGCAGCTGAGAGATTTGGTAAATAGTGAGAGGCAAACTAAAGAATTCAGCAAAACCCTTGAGTTATCTGCAAAAAGAGTATCAGACCTGGTAACCTCTCTGCTGGTTCTACCCATGAAGTGCAAACTTCTTCCTACGTGCAGAAGAGCACTAGCCAGGCACAGAGAGGGGTGAGAGCGTTTCAAGGTCTGGTGAGGTAGCCAAAATCTACTGCTAGCCCCAGTACCAACTAGCACTGGTGCAGCTGGGGCATATCCTGTAGATTGTGTAGAAGCCATAGGCACTGGGAAAAAGGCCTCATCAAGTTTCCCAGTAGCACTTAAGGGAATCTACTGATTCCCAGAAGGAAAGAAATGCAGTAAGGCTACTAGTTACCAGATCATGGGTCAGTTTGAAAATGCTTCCTTTCTGCCCACAGAAGGCAAGAAAAAAGAACTAAAAAACACTTCACCTTTTGAGGAGCAACAAATTTATCTCATATATTACCAGAGCTTGAAAAAGCCCAAAGCCTGAAGTATTTATTCAATTTGAAGCAGTATTATATTCATTGGGCAACAGGGCAGGAGTGCTTGATTGTGAATACTATAACCCCATTCCTTAAAGATATCCAGAAATTAACCATTTTACTTACTCTTCAAAATCTGGTGCAAGTCCTTGAGAAACCATTCAGGGAAGATATCAGTAGTAAGAAGTGCTCTGATCTAGTAGCTGCTCCATCTACTCTTGATGCATCTGGTACAATAAGCAGCTTACAGGCTTTCACTGATACTGAATACAAATTGTTAAAGAGTTATTATATGTAATAAATCCCCTAACAAGCGAGGCCTTGTGGAAGTGACAGCTGTAAAAAAAGTGTCCATCCAGACACAAGTGAGCAGGACTGAAGCTTTTTCTTTATACACAAACCATAGAATTAAAATTCATGCCCCTATAGCTCACTGTGGTGCCCAAAGTGGCAGACTTTCCATGTGCCAATCAGATACTGAACCTGGGAATAAAACCTAAGGGCCAGGGAATAGACCCTGGCTATTAGGGTAAATAATAATAATAGTAATAATAGGACCAATATCCTCACAATTTACATTTTTTGATGATGAGACTTCTTTTGCATAAGGCAAATGTAAAGGCATTACAGCCTACATCATAGGAACAGGCTCTAGCAATAGGTTTCAAGGGGAAATCACGGTCTCCAGGGTGTTATGTCAGCAGGGAGACTCAAACTTGATGTTGCTTTCTTGAAATAGTCACTTCCTTTTGTGGCTTACTGCAAATGAATGGTGGTAGACAGGTTAATTCTGGGGGGGTCTGTCATTTGCATTACTGCTGGAAAAGAAAAGCCATGAAGCTCTATAGGGTGATGCAGTGAGCAGCACTGGTCTGTGTATGGCAGCAACAGCCACCGTGGCAGAGAAATTCCTGATTGTGATAATGGGAGGGTAAGATTTCATGAAACAACTATCATCACAGAAGTCTAGATCAGAGCTCTTACACCTGGAAATGGATGACTGCAGACTTTGTAACCACAGGGTCCTGTTTACACTGAAACTCCATTTTCGATTTCTCTTTCAAGGTTATTAGCCTTGCTGGTTGTTAAGGATGTTTTTGTGGTATGGTCAAGTATATACATTTCTGAATTAGTACAGCTCCCATCACAAAGCCTTACAGTCTCCAGGGGTGAAACAAAACAAAAAAGGATTCCTTCTCTCCCTCATCCTTTTATTGGTTTCTGCTAATGCAGCTGCGCTATTGGTAATAAGCAATTTTCTGATGTTTATAAAACTCTCCTCTACTCTATTGAGTATTATCTAAATTAGATCTAAACACACATCTGTGCACTATAGTCATCTAAATTATTTACAGGCATGATAAATACAAACAACTCTCAAACTCTGCCACTCTTTAATGAAAGTCCAAAAGTTGGCAGGTGTCCATGATAAATATAAAAATTTTAAGGAAGTCTTCAACCATAATTGCTACAGAAGCCAAGATGTTTTAAAGCATTCTACCTCTGTAGAATATCGTACAAGCAAAGCTAGTAAATTTTCTATAAAATTTTGTTCATGTTTAAAAGCCGCTGTAACTTTTTTAGTGTTGTAGAATAAGGTGGTTATCACCATGCATCCTGAGTACTTTGTAACTGGAAATGAACTCTGACCAAACTGCATTTGAAATATGCAGTGAGCAGCTCCTTAGTTAAGAGTAACATTGTTTTGTGACAACTGAATTAAGGTGCAGCATCAGGCTAGAAACTGTTTTCCGTCCTATTTCTAATAGGTGATCTAGAATGTGAGAGTAGAATATTACAGTCAAATTTTATAAGTTCTTTAATGCTGGAATGCCTGTTTTCCAGGACATTTATTCAGCATTTCATGCACTTGAAGTTCTCCCAGAGTAAAGCAGTGCTGTGATGAGATTGATTTTCTTCAAAATAGTAAGCAAACAGCAGAAGTTAAGGATCCTTGAATATTTTTGGCAGAATTTCCCTTCACAATAGCAACTTTAATATGTGAACTTAATTATAGTATCTTAGTATATATCCTTATAAATACTCTCATGTGTGCATGTGAAATGACTGCTGTCCTTTGCTTTTTCTCTTGGGTTTGTAGTTTTTTGAGTACACATCCCATAATGAAATACGTTACAACACCCGACAACCAGAAGTCTGTGCAGCAGTCGATTCAGGGACTGACTACTTGACAATGTACTTGTGTCAAGAAAATGTCCACAGTGTTCCTGAAAACCAGAAGTTTGTTTTCAGGGAGGTAAGTGTGCCTCATTGAGTTTGGGTTTGGTTTTTCTGGAAGTGGGTGGAAGGAGAATTGTTGAGGTTTTTTTCTTTTTATCTTAGGCCACAACACTAGCACAGATCTCTGGGAGAAATACGCTATCTTGGCTTTTAATATCTGAACACAGAACCAGGATAGCAGCAGTGCATTGGCAAAGAGTATGCCAGTCATAAAGAATAGGAAGATGAGAAGAAGGAAAGCAACCTTGATAACCTCAAAGGAGCTGGGAACACTCTCTTGCATCTCACCCCTGCTGTCTTCTCCCGAGATCTGATGAGCCTCAATATACCCCTTCCCCAACCAGTCTCATGACTGTCCTACTTCTGCTCTCTTTTCATTGACTTGTTTTATTTCACAGTATTTGTATTACAATATATCCCTAGTACTTCACATACCACCCTTACTTTATACTCTTCCCTGCTTTGGAACAGCTGCTTCTCCTCTGCAGACCCTCTCTCGTAACCCTTCCCACAAGCACCAGGAGTGCTCCCTTTTCTGCAATGCAATGTGCAGTTGTGTAATTTGATGCATCATCAAAAAATACCTTCTGCCCTATTCCTGCCCCTACACAGGACACATCTTACTGGCTATGGGGACTCAGCAGATCTGTACCTCTCTTTTTCAACCCTCAAGCCTACTCCCAAAGGGGGGAAATACTGAGAAGTGTGGTATATTTATTAAGCATAACATGATCTTAGAAAAACTTGTGTTTAGTAGTTTTTAATCTCTAAAGAAGTTCCTGAATGCCTGAGAGAAAATAAGCTGGATGAAAAATTATGGCCCTGGTCAGGTTCTGGAGTGTTATTATTTGGCTACGGGAAAAGGTCACATAATATATCAAAATGTTATATTTACATAATGTGTCTGCATAATGCATCCAAACTCTACAGAATCTATGGTTAACAAATTTCATGCTTAGATACTACCACCAGTGGCAGGGTAAATTCTAAAAAATTATGTGAAAATTACTGTCCATTCACTTAATCCAGTGCAGACTGAAGCTCATAGTGGTATTACTGAATAAAAATGTTTAAAAGGCTGACTATATAAATGATGTGTCATTTTAAATGCTGACTTTTAATAAAATTGCTCAAGGTCATATGCATTAATCTATAAGAATATATTGAAAGTTCTTCAGTCACTTCAGGAAGTAATTGAGAAAACAGAAATTTTGAAATTGAGAAATCTGAACAATTGAAAAAAAAGTTTTGGAATGCATCTGTTTCCACTGCATTCCTAACCATTAACTTTTAGCATCTGAAACTTTGGGAATTATTTTAAATTTTCTTCCTTCCTCATGATCACTTTGTTCCTGTGTGTGATTTGAACGTACTGCTCAGCTCCAATTCCTCTTCTTATACTGCATTAAATCAAAATCACCAGTCCCTAACTTTCAAGGCGAGTGATGGGTGAGCTGTCAGTACCACATTTCTTTTGCTTTGCACAGAGTAATATCAGACAGCTGTCCTTATGGATGTAGCATAATCACAGATTTAACCAGCCTTCCCAGCAGCCTGACAAGAATTAAGTTCTTATGGGCACCAAGTCAAAAATGAGTGAGGCAAATACTGATTAGTCCTCTCAAAAATGTGAATTATCACAACAGAAACAGGAAAGTCATTTAGAAGCTAAGCAAGCCCATGAGCAATAACACGCCACTGGGCATCAGGAGCTGTGGCTCAGGATGCAATTAAGTACAATATTCCTGATGACGGAAGGAGCAGACTTCCAAAGGAGTAAGGGTTATGCTCAGAAGCAGGGCATTTTTCTTTTGAAGCTGCTAAAGGCTTTGGAAATGGTTGCATGTGGGAATGTCACCCAGGCCAAAGGGATGGTCTCAGAGCAGGGCAGTTCTCCATGGCTGGCTACACTGCCTTTCTGCAGCTCACTATCCTAGTTGTCAGTGCTCCTGGATTGGAGTGAGAGACGTGAACTGGAGATTAAATGTGCTTGGACACTACTGTAACAGGAGGGCCTGAGACCTAAAAATGTGTTTGTTAGGGAATTTGACTGTGGAGGCCTGTCAGACCTTACACATTTGAGACAGCTGTGCTGCCCTCCAGCAAAGCAAGTGAACTCCACACACATCCATAGGCAAGGGGCATGCTTAGATATTTTTACTTTTTCCACCAAAAATGTCCCCTATGAAGAAAGGGGAAAATTTCTTGCTAAAAATATGTTCAGCATCTACACTTAATGAACAATATTTACCTTTTACTTACAAGATGTGCAATAAATTGCTGAATTTGGGTAATGCCTGTGCTTGGCTTTGGTTTTTACTGCCCATGTTCTGATGCAGTAACAAAAGGCAATGAAAGTGAATGATGTTAACACATACTTTACAGGCTGAGGTGTCACTACATGTATCCCTCTAAAGCAATGTTAATGTAAGTTTAAAAGCAGGGTCTTTTGATAAAGTTCAGAGATCCTCAAGTTAGGCATTTTGGCTTTACTGCATGGTCTCATTGGAAGGATATGCGTGATATTTATTTGTGGCAAATGTCTTCTGTTATTTTTAAAACACAGTGATGTGTCTGTAATTTTTGAGACCTGAAAAGCAAAATTTCTTTCTGTCTGTTGTAGGATAGTACCTTGTTTCACCTACAAACCCAGAAGTGTGTACAAGCCGAGTCAAATGTTTACAACGGTAACCCAGCACCATTGTTACGACCGTGTACCAACTCGGACTACCAGAAATGGTTCTTCAAAGAACGAAGTTGATCCAGATGTTGTCTAGGATATAGCTGAATACGAAAAATGTGCTCTTTCTGGTCAGCAGTTAGTCAGCCTTTTTGAAAATCACATGAGTGATATATTTTTGTATGGAAAGAACTGTAATTAGTTTACAAACCTTGGATCTTGTTTCCTGGAGCATTAGAAGGCACTAAGCATTGAGAGCTATGTAAAGTGCTACAGAATCTGCTCCTTTTCTCTTTATTTGGCAGCTACATAACTGCTTCTGAAGTGTCTTAAGTTCTTTTCACAAGTGACAATGTATTTTTTTAATCTACTGTGTGGAAGTAAGGCAGTCAAAATAATTGCACTAATGTTAATCTGCCAATAACTTAAAATGTTTATTTTTCTACTAAAACATTCTTCAGTTGGGCCTTTTAACAGATAGTAGTTAATAGTTATTCTCATCTTTTAAATACAAAGAAGGTAAATGCAGGCCATATTCTGCCCTAAGTGACTATCACAAACTCCTCACTGAAGACAGTGTGGATTTACACATGAAGGCAGAGTATGTCTGCATAGTTTTGCACAAATAACAATCTAGATGCATACAGATTGCACATGCCTGACAATACTATACCTTAAATGTTGTGACAATTTTAGATGCTCATGGCACTTGATGAGTTTCTAATCATGCTTAAGTCTGGTCTGGGAGTAAAATGGGCATTTTCTCATCTTTCTTAAAGAAATAAGGCAATAGTATTTAAAGACGATGCTTTGGGAAAAGCTATTTAGATTCACATGGACCTAGCTATGTGTCTGTGTCCCAGACTGCACAACTCATTTTAACATTATGTGGATTTTTAACATGCATAAAACTTGCAAGATCAGACCTAGCAATAATTCTTTTGAAAAAAAATTCAAAATTACAACTAAAGAAAATGAACCTAAGAAATTCTTTCATTAAATTGTGTTTAAATGATTCATGTAAAAATGATAATATTTTAAAGAATGGTTTTGCAAATAATTGATATGATATGCAGCTAGTATTAATGCAAAAAGAATTGTCTTTCAGGTATAACTTGCATTTCATCTGGGGACTTCTGTTTTGATGAGCTGGCCATGTCAAAGCATATAGTCCAGTTGAATACGTGAGGTTTAATCTGTACCAGTACAAGATGGTTTCTGCTGTGGTGTGTGGGATCTGCCTTACCTAATCAGACAAGTAGTGTGTGTATAGCAATGTATCTGGTCATTGACCAACATCACTACAATGCTGATTAGAAGGGTTTCAGCTCATAGGAATAATTTCTTTCTTTATCAGATGAATGTATGTTTATATATAGAAGGATGAAAATGTCGACCTTTTTCCCCTCAGAAGTCTTGGCATCTATTTTATTAGTTTGGGATGTATTTTGTTATTTGCCTTTGTTCATGTTTTCTATAAAAAATGTACAGTCTTTTCTTTGAATCCCCATAAGCTCATGCCATTTTGGCATACCTATTTATATGATTGGGGTGTGGGGGGAGGGTTTCTGCCTGTAGGAGATACATATGTAGGTTCTTCCAAGGTTTTTCTAAACCCGTGTAGATAGAATGTTTTTGTGAGCACCTTTAAAGTTTTGTCTCTGTGGGCTGTGGACTGATGAAATTGATGTTAGAATTAATAAAATATTTTGTGATTCAGTAGAGTGGGAACTGTCTTACGAACTATTTCTTTTGTTTTTCTTATGGTCAGTGGTTTTCATTTAATCACTTCTCTAATCTCTTAGGCCCAGATCCCTGCAGCATTTGGGAGAAGACAGCTTTATTTTATGGTGTCTCAGGTTCTGTTTCCTGAACTCGGTAATGCTTCTGTTCACTTGTTAACAGCAGTAGTTTGCACTTTGAGCCACAAATCAAAACTGGATAGCCACATGAGAGAACTGTGAGAGCTCTAGCAACACAGCAAGGATTTTCTGTTAATTTCTGCTTTTCCTTCTTGACTGTTGATTGAACAATATTAGTAAGTTAATAAAAGCCCAGCTATTACAGTCACAGACAAAATTCTCATTGACTTTCCATGGTCAGTGAGGTTTTCTTAGTTTTGGGATTTCAAGATTTCATCATCATGTGGAGGTATGCAAGTGAAACTTAGTAATTGGAAATTATTTTCCATACATCTTTCCACTCTGCCCTTGTTTAGAGTGAAGTATTGATGTTTTTGGCTTCCACTTACATGCAGCTGAGACATTTTTGCATATGCCAGCAAACCTGCCAGCCTGGGTTGCACATTTGCTAGACAAACACACTTGAGTTCAAAAGGAGACACTGAACGTTAGCAAAATCATCAACTTGCTCCCCCTCTGTAGGCCTTTTACCATCTACTTACCATTTTTTTCTCCTTGATAGCCTTTTCTTCTTCTCAGCTCATTGGAGCTGTATTAATGTCTGGCTTCAGGTTCAGAGGGCGAAGGACTCCATCAAGCATCTGAGTCACATCTGCAGACTTCCTTCTGCAGGAGGTCAGCTGAGTAATGGACTGTGGACTTTGGGTTTCTCCTGGGCAGAGATGGGGCTGCATGCCTCATAGAAATGGAAAAAATTGGAGGACTTCAATCCTATCGATGCTAATTTCTTAGTCTTTGTATTCCTTTATTTAAACAAAAACAAACAAAATAAGAGCAATCCAGATTGCAGTCTGGTGTCTGGTGTCTATCATATTTATTTATTTGAAATCATCAGGTAACTATTTTGACTTTTTTTTCTTTTATTCCTTCACCATTTTCCTTTCATTTAAAAACTGTGGGTCTTCAGTATGGGCTAGAACTTACTGGATTTTTACTTCAACAGAAAACAGCATATAAACTTTTCTTCTATGAAATAAACCACTAAGACTTCTGTATGTGCAGTCTTGACCAAACCATTATGATGGGGAACTGTTAGAGCTTGTACAAACACCTGGGAACAACAGTCATCATTGTACATGCATCAGTCAACACAAATTAGAAACAGTATTTCTTGCTGGCTCTGCTGAAACAGAGACTCAAAACTGTATTCAATTTTTGTTATATTTATAGGAAGTGGTAAGATGTACTGCAAGGGGAAATTCATATTGGTTGACAACACCAAGACTGATGAGACTGTGCTTCTATTCCCTGTTTATGAAAACACGGGTGGTTACACAGTGATGCTGCTTGGTGTGTAATTTAAAATCTGATGCTCTTTTACCTTCATTCATGTCTCTTACAGCCTTTAGATTTGGAGATTAATTTGAAGCTGAGCTTTGTTCTTATACCCTGATATCAAGATGACTAGAGATCCTAGGGGTAGGATCATGCAGTTGCATATACATGCTTGCAACTGTGCGGGTTTTTTGGCAGTTTGGAAACGCTGTATAGGCTTGTAACAAACACAGAACTTTGTGCTATCAAATTAGCTGAGGTAGGTGGGAAAGTCCTTGGGAGGGAGGGAAGAGAAGGACAGCAGACCTCCCCCGTTTTGTCAGGGTGCTACAGCAATAGCTGCATTTGAATTATAGCATTACAGTATTCTTCCACCTTCCATTTACAGAGGAATAACATTATTTATGTATATGCAGTACTAAAATTAATATGCCTAGATCAACAGTTTTCAATCTTTTTTTCAATCCATTGCTCAGTGACATTTTTATGAATAGGCAAATCCTGATTAGACCAGTCCCAGTCAGCACTGACATGAATTGCATGGCTCCAGGGTTTGCAAAGGGGGTAGAGACAAAAACAGGACAGGACCTTCTCAGTGACCTCTTCAAACTCCAAGAGTAATAAGAAGATGCAAGATGCAGGAAGTGAGTTGCTGGCCTGATGGGTTTCATGTAGCATCAAACCATCTCCCAGAGTGGAAGGGACTCGCAGCAGATGCAATTTCTTTCTTGATGTTAAGGGAAAAATCAGTTTTCTGGATTTCTTGACTTTATCCATGCTCTGAAGATACTTAATTTGCAACTGAAGAAAAAGTGGTCAAGAGAGTCGTACCAGTACAGATACTTAAATGTGAAATTAATTAATTAGGTACTCTGTGATGAGCAAATATAAAGAATATACAAAGAACAAAAATGTTAACTGTGCCTACACTGTGAGAAGACTTGGTAATAACTGAGAAATTGGAAGTGATCATTAGCAGGAAGATACTTGACACTGTTTTTACAGAAATATGGTTGAAGGATTCACGTGATTGAAATGCTGAAGTGACTGGGTAACATGCCAGGAGGAAAGTGACATTTGTTTTTCAAGTAAAAAGAACAGGATTTCCAATTCTTGTGAACTGATATTTTAGCCAACAAGGGATAAACAGATGCAGAGGATGTCTGATGTGGACCACCAAATGAGAATATAAAGCCTTTTTGCATAAAAAGGCTGTAAGACAGATAAAGGATGTGCACCGCTTCAGAGAATTTCATCCTAGGGAATGCACTTTACCAATTTCATGATAGCAAAACATTCAGGGGATTTCTAATGAAAAAGAAAAAGGTAGCTGGGCAACTAGCTGTGTCTGACACAATCTTTAATAAGCAGTTTGGTGCAATTCTCCTTTAGGCCTCCTTTTATTTAAAATGAGCTGTTACCTGGCCATCTGTTATACATAAACAAAGGGATAGTGCCTTTGAAAGAAGAAATTTCTCGGTGCTGAGAATTGGAAAGAAGCAGGCTTTAAAAAAATTTAACTATCATAGAATCATATTGAAAACATATGTGTGCAACATGAAAGTTTTTTATCAGATTGCAAATTAAATATTTGAGTGCCAGAAATAAAGGTTTTTGTGAAATCTAAGTTAGCTTCAGTGCATCTATTACACCATTATTTTTAATTACAATATTTTTGTGCAATATATTCCCTGGTTTTTGACATTTTTCTTACAAAAGTTGTGGAAACTGTCTTTTTCGTGCCTCACTGATATACAGGAAGAATCTTCAGAGATTTACTATGCCTAATCCTCATTGTTCAATATATGTCTTACTTACTTCCCCATAATAAATCCCTAGCTTGAAAAATAAAAGTTATTTTCTTAGTTGTGGGGATTTTTGTTTTGTATTGGTTTTTTGGTTGGTTCTTTTTTTTGGTTGATTGGGGTTTTGTTTGTTTGTTTTTATAGAACTTGAATGTTACAGTACCTCAGTGTTTCCCAAATATTTATTAGTTTGTCTTGACTGTATTACCATGAAGGAGGAGCACCCACGTTTTACTGACAGGGAATGCAGTGACAAACAGATTAAAGTCAGAAGTACCACAGTGTTAAATACTGTAATTTGAAGTGTAGCTTTGCGTGATTTAAATTATATCCAGCCATACTCCAGACTGCTGCAGTTCCTAGGTGCATTTCTTTGCCCTGCTTCTGTAGCACTGGCCTTCTTAGTGCACTGTGTGGTCACTGCCAGTGGCTGGGCTCTGCCTCCCACACGAAGGCAAGCCTTGAACTTTATGCTGAGTAGAACTGTGCAATCACTCTTTCCAACCTGTATTGGAAAAGAAGAGAGGAGATGCATTTCATTCTTCAGCTAACAAAGGGACATTTGCTGCTGCAGAAGTAACAAAGAAGGATATCAACCAGCTGCTAATAATATTCAAGGTGTTAATTCTGTTGTACCACAGAATCCGGACTCAAGCTTTCTTTCAGAAAGACTGAGTTCTCCAAAAGCTGGGAAATTGCTTTAAAAAAAAAAACAAAACAAAAAACCTTAGAAAGCTGCTGATGTTCCAGAGACAATGTGTGTGTGCTAATAAACTGCCAATATTGTAAAATGATCACCAAATTGATCCAAGTAACTGTAGTCCTGGTAGCCAAGTACTGGAGAACTGGAGAAAGTCATGGAATGACACAGGGTACAAAGAGTGAATAATGATTTTCTGTGAAACAGATTGTAACAGACAAACTTGGTATCAATTGCAGATCAAGTTGAGAATGGCAAAACATGATTTAGCATATGACATTCTGATTAAAAATAGCATTATACAAAATCAATATGGCACCTATTCCTGTTGGCATCCTAGGAATGTTCTTGGTGTCATAATAATCAATTTTCTGGCAGAAAAGGAGTTACTGAAAAGTTTGCAGGTAACAAGCTGCTTGACAAGTCACTTGTACAAATAAAGCTCATGGTTTGATTTGTTCTAGTGCAAGATCAAGTGCACAGGAGTAAAGAAGTAGGTCATGCTTAGGCAGCATGGATTCAAAACACAGTGTAGATTATTGGATAAAGAGGCATTCCCACAAGGACAATACACTGACTGGTTTGCCCGTTGCTCTCCCAACATGCCCAGCCTCCAGAACTGGTTGGTGCTGAGGGAGGTGCTGAGGTTGCAGCTGATGGCCCAGTGCTGGCAGGTCATGTGGTTAGAAGGACTAGTTCACACAAAATGCCTTGGAATTGCCTCCAGAAATGATTCTTGAGGTGAGGGAATGTTGGCCTAATTATTTTACAAAAGCAAAGTGTGATTAATCTTAGGCCATGTGCATGGGAGAATATTAGTAATACTATGCCCCCTTAAGCTAATAAAGGCATGGTGAGAACCAATGATTGAAAGCTGGAATAAGACAAATTGATACTGAATATGAGTTGCACCTTTTAGCAAACTTATTAATGATTGAAATGATTTATCAAGAGATGTGGTGGACTCTTCATTACAGATGCCTTAAAATCAACACTTCTGGATGTCATTCTGAGGGAAAGGCTATAAAGCAGCAAGTGTTATGAAATTACTGGTTGAAGCCTTTTAGCCCAGGGTCAGATCATTATGATCTTAGAATTTATTAATCCATGAAGATTCTTTCCAGTTTATTCACAGATACTGCTATCGTGTATGTGATACAAATTAGATGCATTAGGTTGATCTTCAAAGTTCTGCTCTGAGTGACCTCAGGAAAATTATGAATATGTATAAAAAGTGGGGTGCCTAAGGGAGGGCTAAGAAAAGTTTTGCATTTTGCCAGTACTGCCTCCTGTGTGGGATCCACCTGCCAGGCAACAGATCAGCACACTGCTGTGCAGGGACTCTGCAGACCAGGGATGCGGGTGGGCAGTGTGAATGTGTTCCCTGGAGTGCAGGGACAGGCTGGGAGCGAGGCAGAAAGCCTTGGGCTGTATATGGGATATGCCCCACGGCCAGTGAGATGTGGAGGGAACTACTTGGGAGAACATGCGTGGAAAGGGTTCGGCTCCCCCAGGCTACTCGCAGGGTTGTAGCAGCCCTCGGGGGAGCTCAGAGTCCTGCCGCAGCCTTAATTTTTATTTTATTTTTTTTTCTTTTGTAGCCGCGAGTCGTGCCAGGCTCCCAAAAAACCGCCAAAATCTGCGGGAAAAAAAGAAATCAGTCAAAATAAATAAATAAAAAAAAAAAAATATCCCGGCTTCTGCTCTTGCGAAACGCGCGGCTCCTGCGTGCCGCAGAGCTGCCGTGGCCCGGGCTGCCTGCGCGTGTGCGTGTGTGCGAGGTGCCGATCCCGAGTGGGAGCGTGCTTGCGTGCCGCGTGTGCGCGGAGGCGGGTGGGGAGTGTGCGCGGAGCCCTCCCGCGCCGGGCAGCGGGGCTGCGTGTGCGTGTGAGTGGCTGTGTGAGTGGGGACAGTGCGCGGGCCGCCCCCCCCCCCCCCCCCCGCGCCCGCGGATGGGCAGCGGCCACCGCACGCACCTCCCCGCGCCCACCTGCGCGCGCGTCGGGAGCTCCACCTGGAGAAGGTGCCCGACCCACCGGCAGCGGACGCTGCTGCCGTATGAAGGGGATCTCGGCCCGGCCCGGCCCGGCCTCTGCACACTTTGCTCTGTCCCCGGCCGCGCATCCTGCCCGGCGGCTCTGCCCGACCCGAAGGACGGGCGCAGGCGGCACCTCCCGCCCGCGGTGGGGGCTGCCCTGACTCCCACGGAATGCGGCACTAGCACCCCCGCCCCGGATCGGCACCGCTCCCCTTCTCCGCCTCCCTGGCTCTAGGGGGGGCTTTTTCCTCTTCGGCGTTTTCTGCCGGAGCATCCTTTCCCCCCCTCCCCCCCTTTTGGAGGAGGAGGAGGGGGAAGGAGGGAGGTGTTCAATGAGGGCTGCTCGGCTCCCCCCCCCGCGCCTGAGAGGTGCTGTCCCTCCCTGAGCGGAGAAGGGGAGAGCTGCCGGGGAGACAGGTCCCGTTCCCTTGCTGTGCTGCCGGGGAGAGCGGAGGAGGGTGGTGGGGAGCGTGTCAGTGTGCGTGGTGGTGGGGGTTATTTATTTATTTATTGCTCCTGGTGGTTGCAGCTGGCAGACCTGGGAAGGAGTAGGGCGCCATTGCCAGAAGGATTATTGCCAGGAGAGGGGAGGGGGGGGGGGGAAGAGAGAGAAGACCCCGAAGCTCCCGGGGAAGCGGAGAGTGACAGCTCTTTTTCTCCCGCCTTGGCTTCTGCCGCCGGGGGATGCGCCCGGACTGAGAGGGGCTCAGCTCCCTTCCGCCGCTCTGTCCGTCTCCCCACCCTCAGTCCTCCTCCTCCCCCCCATCCAGCAGCATGCATCCCTCTTCGCGGAGACCGGCCGCTGCTACCTCCAACCCTGCCATGCTACTGCTGCTCCTGTGCCTGGGCTGGGCGCCGCCGGGCTGGGGCTGGCCGCGGGGCAGCTCCCGGGGGGCGGCCGGGCTGCCCCCCAACGCCACCACGCCGATCTCCATCATGGGCTTGATGCCGCTCAGCCAGTCCGAGGAGGACCAGAAGAGCAGGATCGGCCGGGGAGTGCTGCCCGCCGTGCAGCTGGCCATGGATCAGATCCGCAACGAGTCTCTGCTCAACCCCTATTTCCTAGACCTGCGGCTCTACGACACAGAGGTAGGGACGCCGCGGGCCCCGCGCCGCCGCCCAGTCCCGGGGCGCTGCGGGTGCAGGGGCGCAAGGGCAGCGCGGACGCCCGGGCCGGGGCTGCGACTGCCGGCGGGGCCGTGCGCGGCGCCTCCGAGCCGCCTCGCCCGCCCAGCCCCGCGGGCTGCCGGCAGATGTGGGGGGACTGGCGGCGGAGGGGGAGGACGCGGAGCCGGCGGACCGTATCCTGCGCGCCCAGAGTGTCAGCAGCGGCTCCCTCGGCAGCTGGGGCTCTCCTCGCCGTCCCGGGGGCGCCCCTGCCCGGGAGTCGCCTACAGCGCGGGGGTGGGCCCGGGCGGGTGCCGGAGGTGCTTGGTGGCGGCGGTGACTGGGATCTGCTGCCCTTGGCACGCACGTACACCGGTGGGAGGAAGGCTCTGCCTCCTCGCCTGGCGGAGCCGCGGCCGCGGTCCCTCTGCCAGCCGCCACCCGCTCAGCAACAGATGCACGCCGGCCGCTCCGATTCCCCGCTCCGCCAGCCGGCACACGCTGCCAGCCCGGCTTATCCCATGCGGCGCGGGGACGCGACGGGCAGCGACCGTAGCTTAAGGAGGCGGGGAAGCTCTCACAGGGTTCCGCGGGGTCTGCCCCCTCCCTGCCCTCCGGCCGGCGCGGCGGGAGCGGCTAAGCGCCCGCCCGGGAGTGCGTGGGCGGCGGGGCGCGGAGGCGCTGGCTCCTCGGAAAGAGTTAAATTTGCAGTCCCGGTCCCCACCGAGCGCCCAGCAGCGCAGCGGGATGCCTGCGAGACGCCCCGTTCCGGAGCGCTGCCCACGGCCAGCCGTCAGGGATGGGAGAAGAGGGAGTCCTGCGCCGTGCTTCGCGGAGAAACATCTTCCATTTACTTGGGGCAGAGAGGCAGGGAGCAAAGCGAGGGCTTTGTCGAGTTGGTTGCCACCGCCACTCGCCCACAACTGCCTTTGATTTTGGTCATAACTTCAGTAGCGGTGTGTTTGCGGAGGGTACGCGCGGGTCCGGTACCGGGGCTCCCCTGAAGATGGCAGTCGCTTCTTGTGTAATGCTGGCGGCCGGGGCTCGCTTCCAAGACAGCCCCCGGTAAATCGAGTGGCTGCTGAAAATCTCCCTGCCTGTAATTTAAGGAAGCCCCTGTCTGCTCCCCTTCGGTTCTCAGGGTCCGGGGCGACCAAGCTGAGAGCAGCAGTGACAGGCTGTACCACTTCCGTGATAGTGTTTCTGTCCCCAAAACGGCTACCAAAAGCCTCTCCTTGAAGGGTGGCTGCTTTTTATTGACATAAATTTGTCATAGTATTTTTTTTAGATACCTCTGAGCAGCAATGCATGGAGGGCAATACTGCTGAAGATGTCACTTAGGAAGGAGCACTCTGCCATCCTGTTGTGTTGTGTGAACAAGACTGAGATGTTGACAGGGAATAGGCTAGATCAGGCTAGAGTAGATGCTTGTTTCCTTAAAAAAAAAATGAATCTCAGGGAACTCTGCAATCATAATGAAAAGAATTATGGGGGATTTTCTGAATGGCACTACCTGTCTTGTAAGGCGAGATGCATGTTAGGAAAAAATCACAGTTCTAATCCCATTTTCATTACACTGTTCTATATTAGTTCTTTCCTTGGATGGAACTATTATAAAAATGACATATGCATAGGAAGTAGAGAAGCCTAGGTAGGATCTTTCTTCATATAGTAACATCATAATGAATAAGGTGCTGCACTTCATTGCAGTCAAAATATTTTGAAGTTCTTAATAAAGATTTTGGATTCTGAACTAGGTAGTTATCATTAAAATATTTGGGGGGGGGGGGTGAGGGAAATGCCCTGTTTGTTCTGGAATGAGTATCAGTTTCTTAAAAATTGCATTTTTACTGTTTTGTACTCTAGGGACATAAGGAATCAGGGTCATGTTGCCAGCCTGCTGTGTTGCTTTGAATGCTTTTAAGCAATTAATAATTGGATGGCTGTGGAATGTTAAGTCAGGCGAATGCATATGTTTGGAGTATGGTTGGATTATTATTGCATGCTTAATAGTGACAAGTAAATAACTTAGTGTTCATGAAGACTGCACCAAAACGGAACAGACTAATGTCTGGAATAGCCATTAAATACATAATGGCAGTGCAAACTTTTTCTCTTGGTTCAGACATTACCTTATTCCTTCAGTGCACTTACAGTAAGCAGAAGGGTAGCTGGCTCATCATGCCCACTTGGTCCTCAGCCTATTTTCTGAGGCCGCCAATAAATAGATATGCCTGAAGGGCCTGGATCCTTATCATTGCATAATCACAAACCAGGGAGTAGTTCTCCCTCTCAGGGCTTCACAGGTGGTGCTTGTGACATTGTTGGCTCTTGAAAGAGAGAATGTAGAGCCTTGAACACATGGGATTTTTTTAATGGTTTGAGAAATAATTGCAGCATATTTATAATGCTTAGGAAATGTACGGCAGTGATTGTGTATTCTCCCTTGTGTCTTTCCAAACTCCCTTATTTTTGCAATCTGATCTTTGTATTGCAATTTTCTATAATACTTTAACTAAAAGCTTGTGAAAAATAATAATGAAAATAAAAATATTGTTTTTTTTTAATTATGCATTCAAGTACCTTTCTGTCAGAATTGAACTGAGTATTCTAGCTTGCTTGATATTTCTGGTTTTGTATAATGAAGCATTATAATGCCTTTACTTTCTGACAAACCATCTTAAAGAATTGCAGTATGCCTGCTAAGTTTGACTGCTGTTTGTCAGCAGTTGAACTCACTAACCTTTGAGGACACGAGCAGCAGCTCTAGTGTTTTTCAAAGCATTTAAATTGAATGAAGCACTTAAATACAATGCTTAGTTTATGTCTCAGTTGAGATTGTGTGAATTACATCTTTGTTATGAAATATGATCACAGGCTACCTCAAGTAAAAAAATGCAGAGGCTTCTGTCTTGGGTATTTTTTGAGATTAAATGTACTTGGAGTATGATCCTGATCCAGTTTGGTAAACTCTGTTTTGCTACTCCCTGGGCGTCTCTGTCTATTTAGGTGTTCCTACTTAGTTGCAGTCAATGAAACAAAGCTCAGGTGTAGGCATTTGCAGAACTCTTGTCTAAGTTAGTGACTTTAATTTTTACTGTTCATTTTAATGAGAGCAGTGGTCTCACACTAGATGAGACTCTCAGGCAAAATTTCATAGTTATGTTATTTTAGAAACTCGAGGATTTATGAAGCTATCTTCTCTAAAGAGTCTCATCCAAACCCCATTGAAATTAATGGCAGTAATGCACTGATTCCAGCAGCCCTTGGACCAGGTCCTAGAAGTTAAGGGTGCTTGATAGTTCATGGCTTTGGATCAATGACGATGGTACGGTATATCTTCTTTTTTTCCATCCCAGTGATTGTAGCTTTAGTTGGTTGAATATACAAAGAAATGTTTCACAAAATAATGAAAGAAAAAGCCCTTCATACACTAGACAAAGCTCACAACTTCATGTAAATCAGGAGAGATGATTTCAGCTAAAGCACCCTGACATACCTATGTTAGAGGCCAAAAAAGCAGAATAACATTAAAAGAAAGGAATTAAGCATCTAGTAGACAATATTATAACTTTCAACAGTATTAAATTTGTGCATCAGGGAAAAAATAACCTTACAGGAACTAGAGGAAGAGGCATCGTGGAAGAAGACAAGGGCTTTAATGGAATTTGGATATCTGCCCTTCTGCATCTGGACATCTTCCCTCAAATATGCAACGTATTTTCTGATTTCTTGTAGGAGCAGTGCTGCAAGTGGTGCATAGACAGTGTGAATTTGTTTTGAATCTTAACATGCATAGTCAAGAAAGCAGTGTATGCAAGTTAGCATTCTGTCACTTGTTTCTGAAGATCCAAGTGAGTCTTGACAAGCTGAAAAAAAAAGTCTTACAGAAGTAAGTGGGTATATTATTACAAAGAGGGAAGAATATTCATACTCTGGGGATGAGATTATTTCTTTTTCTCTACCTACAACAAATAACTTGTGGTAATCATGATATAATCTCCTCTTCGTGTAATAGTACACTCTAATACCTTTAAATAGCAGGTTGGCATAGAAGAGGGAGCTCTGGAAAATGCAGAGGACTCCGCAAAATCTGAAGGCAAATGTGAGCTTTTTGACATTTGATACATATTTACCTTTTTCTGTTCTGTAACTAAGTAGAAAGTGCCTTGCTTAATTCATCTGATAAGAAATTACAGTCTAGGTGTATTATATGTAGACTTTCTCTCTGTTTTTTTCTTTTACTAAAAAATTACTTGTCTTTTCAGTAAAACTCTTAAAGCTTAAGAAAGTTGTACAGGCCATGCACCAGTTTGCATCATTCTCGCCAACTGTTCTAAAATTTAAAAGACCCCAAGCCTCCAAATAAAGATGCTTTTTCCAGAAAGTCCAGTCATGAGTAGTGTCAACAAAGTCAACTCATGTCTTGTTCCTGCAAGTGGAAGTAAGAGAAGTGTTTATTTTTGCTAAGGATGGGGAATATATTCTGGAAACAGAAGAACAGGTTTGAGTCAGTGATGCAAAATAAGGTATCTGTTCACTGGAGCTCAGTGTTCAATAGCATATAACAGTCCTCACAGAGGGACAAACAGCTACTAGTTGCTGTCTGAAAAACTCTACAACAAAAGAACTGAGCAAGGGAGCAACCCCCTTGTCTCCCCCCCCTCCCCAGTTCTCTCCCCCCCACAAACAAAAAGAAGTGCATGCCATGTGTGGATAAGGCCCTTTGTCTTAGGAGGCATAGATTGAAGTCACTTCAGCAGCGACTGGATTCGCAAGGGGAAGCATGGTGTACCAAAGTCAAGTGGGGCTCCTGGGGGTAAGCCCTGTCATGCCTGTGAATGCTCTGAGTACTCTGAGTCTGGAGCCTTATTTTCATTTTTGTAGTGCTCAAAATGGAACAAACAAGGTGGTGTTGTGGTCTTCTAAGAGTAACAGCTGAATACACAGGAGACATCAGAGCCTGAAAGGGAGTCCAGTTT